GATGACGTCATACACCTTAAACTTCGCACACATCTTAAATGGGTCAAGGTCATCATATACACCAATATTTAGGCGATTCCGACAAACTTCGCCACAGACATCTATTCAAAATACATTTTTGAAAATTTTCAACCTGTCGCTAGAGGGCGCTCGAAGATTGCATGACGTCATCGGTAGATGATTTGAAGAATACTATTAGCCAAGAGACTAACACAGTTAAAAGCAAGTTCATATCTATTACCACTTTTAAATAATAAGCCACTTCCGGTTTTGGCCTTTTTCGACCGGAAGCAAGGGTCACGTGATTTTACGCACACTGAATGAAATAAAGACCTCAACCTACTCTACCACTTGCTGGCAACAGAATGCTGCGGACGCGTACGGTTGATTTCTTATGCATTCTTAAATATTAAAATTGTCACAATTTAATTGCATATAAATAAACACCGGATGACGTCATCATGACGTCATCATTACACAATGTTGTTTGAATTAGAGTCTTTGCTTGGACAAAGATTGGTGTAAATGAATTACTGGCAAAGAGTCGAAAATGCCCTCTGAAAATTGACATTTTTTTTTTAATTTCTGTGTACAAAGTCTATGGGAAAAATTAAATATTCAAAATTCTATAATAAATCACGTGATGACGTCAGCATGACGAAAAGTTTCGGGACACATCTTCAGATGGTGGTCTAAGTGTGTGCCAGGTTTGAAGTCGATCGGATTTGAAAAAAAGCCAAAAGTGACTTGTAGAACGAAAACACGTGTTATCCTATGAGAAAAAAGTCTGAAAAATAAAAGAGAAAAAAAAAAATAACAGAAACAAGAGCTGTTTCGGTGTGTACACCGAAACAGCTAAAAAAAAAAAAAAAAAAAAATGAGAACAAAAACAAAGGCTTTTCCGCAACTTTGCGGAAAAGCCCAAAAAAAGAAAAAAAAAAAAAAAAAGGAAAAAAAAAAAAATTTAACGAAAACAATAGCTGTTCCCAATAGCTGTTCCCAATTGAAATTGGGAACAGCTAAAAAGAAAAAAAAAAATCTTAACGAAAACAAGAGCTGTTTCGGTGTGTCACCGAAACAGCTAATTATGTTCTTGTATATAGTCTGGGTCCCTGACCCTGCTTCAGACTAAACGAAACAATTTATAGACATCAGGGAATTGTCACGTCGGAAAACCAGACTAGCTGGCTTGCACCTTTTCACGGATGTGTAACCGATTACAAACAAAATGTGGACGAACTAAACAATTGGTAAAATGGAGGCAGTATTTGAAAAAAGCAGGTTTTTTTCCAACGATGGTCGGCCGAGAAAAACTTTTCTTGAAAATGACAGCACATCAGGTGCCGTGATTTCACAGGACTTGCAGTCAAGTAAGATATACAATACTAATATGGTAGTTTTGTTGTTTGATGTTTGCAAATGATGTATATTGCATTTAAACCATTACATAAATAACTTACAATTTATTTCATTACGAGTTGCACGCGATAACATCGTTAGTCTCAACATCTCATTTGTTTGTTTTATCAAGGCTGCACGACATTTTCCCCCAATTAATATTCCCTGTGGGAAAGACTATTTTACACAAATCGGCTTACATTCATAACGCCATGTGGGAGACAGAGCATTAGATCCCTCGTCGCGACAGCATGAATTCGTTACGCAAGCCAGAATGATGGGGAGAATTTTCATTAAGTCGGACTTAGCACAATCCCGTGATAGGTTTCTACCAAAACCCCTCATACGATTTATCATATACAAGTACATTATGATCGCTCATGTTTTTACGCGTGGTCAACGATCCAAAAGACTCCCCGCCCCTAGACTCTAGTGTAGTGTGTTGGTTTTTGAAATCAAGCTCCGGAGCGCAGTCAAGCGGATGAAATAAAGCCGTTCGTGGACAAACAGCTTTGGCATATGAAGTTTGCAAACAACCATATCTCAGAGACGAAATGTGTATTTGCGATCATTTTTCGCTGCTTAATAAAGATTAGTATTAAAATACCTTTTCAATTGAATTTTTGAAAATACGCTCATATAAGCATTATAATGTTTTGTTATTTATGTTTAAGTCACAAGTGACATTCAGTCAGTGAGATAGGTAACCAGTCTAAGACACAAGTAACAGTCAGTCAGTGAGATAGGTAACCAGTCTAAGACACAAGTGACATTCAGTCAGTGAGATAGGTAACCAGTCTAAGACACAAGTAACAGTCAGTCAGTCAGTTAGTCAGCGAGATAGGTTGCCCTGTGGCGCAAGCGCAACGCGGTAAAAAAAAATGTAAACACTTAACAAACGACAAGATTGGAACAAGCATAAACTGTCACGCATTTGAGCATGCGCTGTAAACACAGACTATTAGGATAAGGGGAAACTGGGAAAACTAATTTTCTAAATTCATAAAGGTTGTGAAAAACATTGGAGGCACCCAATATGTATTAAATCTGATATATGCAGGACATGTATACAGTGAACTTCCGTTAATACAAACTCAGCCGGACCTAGGCAAAATGTTTGTTATATCAGAATGTCGTCTTAAGTGGAGTGTCGTTCCTCTTCACTGTACACATAATGACATACTACACAGTCGGGACCAAGACTTTATATTTGCTACAACCAGAGTGTGTAATTAATAGTGTGTGCATTAACGAGAGTAGACTGTACTCGTAAACGCGTTAAATGTTATCCTTATGGTTTCGTTTTTATCAACATGCTAGCATGCCCTCCGAAATGGAAATGCTTTCTAATGTTAAGACAATTAAGAAGACTGAAAGACCTTGAATTTGTCATCATTCCAGAAAGCTAAGGAATTCATACCAAAACCAATCAACCTGTTTTACATGACATTGAATGCATAACAGTGTCTGCAAAGGGCCTGATTAAAGAGTGTTACATGTACTATCTGAAAAGCACAGAAACGGTGCATCAACATAGGAGAAAGATGCACTGTGCAAAACACAAAAAAATGAGTCATAGATTTTTGGCAGAATTGGCTAATTTGAAATGAAATATTAGAGAAGTTCTTCGGAATAATTGAGCTATTTAATGAAACAACTCTTTATTGGTGCTCCGTGCACCTTCATCATGTCTCCCTCCCCGTTCAAAACACATCCAAGGCAAACTAATTACTATAGAAATCTCATCTCCAGCGAAATAATCAGCTCAACTTGAAAAGTGGATGATTCAGCTTTTGGCAGGGACTAAGATGTGTGATGGGAAATGCTGATAACACTTAAATAAGAAGGGTTTTATCTAGTTTGAGGTTAGAAACCCATTTGTTCAATTGATACATTGGATGTCACGCATGCTCTCGAACATCTGATAAAACATCCTTTGAACATGCAACCCAAGGGCGAGGTTTGTCAGGATTGATCCTGATTCGAATATGTTTGTTAAGAATTTTTCCTGATTTGAGAACTTTTGTCAGGATTTTTCCCGATTCGAGGATTTTTGTCAGTATTGTTCCTGCTTCAATGATTTTTGTCAGGATTTTTCCTGATTTGAGGATTTTTGTCAGCATTTTTCCTGATTCGGGTATTTTTGTCAGGATTTTTCCTGATTTGAGGATTTTTGTTGGGATTGTTCCCAGTTTGAGGATATTTTTGAGAATTTTGTGTTTGATTTGAGGATTTTTGTCTGGATTTTTCCTGATTTTAGGATATTTGTCAGTATTTTTCCCGATTTGAGGATATTTGTAAGGATTTTGTGTCTCATTTGAGGATTTTGTCAGGATTTTTCCTGATTTTAAGATATTTGTTATTATTGTGTTTCTGATTTGAGGATTTTTGTCCGCATTTTTCCTGATTCGAGTATTTTTGTCAGGATTTTCCTAATATGAAGACTTTTGTCAGAATGCTACCCGATTTCAGGATTTAATTCAGGATTTGTCCTGATTCGAGGATTTTTGTCAGGAGTTTTCCTGATTTCAGTATTTGTAAAAAAAAAATCAAAATCTGGAATTCCAGATGTGTTACCGTAAGGGTGTTTTGACATATAAAGGTCCATACAGAGCAAAGAAAGTGATATTTTACGGGTGCCTTCAGGCAAATTTATAGAAACATTTATCATAGACCCCACGTTGCTCTGCGGTCCTCAGTGACCCTCAACCTTCTGCAGATATTTCGTGGATTGTTCGCTCCCCCACTCCCCTTCCCTCCCCAATCCCTCCCGTGGTTAATACCATTTCAGCATCTTTCAAATTAACAACTTCACTATATCAACCCATTATGTTTTTTTTCATAACCATATCTGATATTACTCTTCAACTGGATTTGACTCCGATTGAAGAAAACCAAGAACTAAATATATCGGTTTTCCCGGCTATTTGAAAACATTTTTCGTTCGAATTCACCGATTCTTATATTCAAACTCGTCCGGCATCATCGATTTAGTGCACGTCCCATGTTTAATTTCGTCTTTTTTCAGACAGTTTCAAATTTAGTCCAAACAAATTTCAACAATGAGCACATGTTTTCGACCCGTAGCATTCGATTTCGTCTCGTCTACGCCGAATCGTGTTATTCAGAAATCAAATTCGTCTAATATTGATTGATATAAGACGTATTCGATCTATGAATGCTGCCATTCGGCAACAGCTTAAACGAATTTGATCTGTAATGACGAATATTCTCGACCCGTTGACTAAAGGGGGTGACCAAACTTTATAATAAGCCTCTGTACTAATGACGTCAGACTTTGTTTACGTGTGTGCTTTCCTATGGTGCTCAGTTGACCGTGGGCCCCCACTAGCTCCATAGGAAAGTGCACATGTAAACAAAGTGTGACGTCATAAGTACCGAGGCCTATTGAATGGTAAATGACACAATTGTTTAGTTAAAAGCGTGTGAAGTCTTTCGTGGACGAAATTAAATGATAGAGTTGGTGAATTTGAATTTAAAATAGTCGAGAAAACCTATACTTGCAATGTCGAGGATTAACTGGGACGTATTTTCCAATCAATTAATCAGCTCTTCTGTTTCTACTCCAATCCCCTTTGCAGGAGAACTCGGACACGGAGTGGAAGTTTGCCCGCGCCCGGATGTGGGTGCACTTCCTCCACGTGGGCGGGACGGTGCCGCCCCCTTTTAATGTCATCCCGACCCGTACGGCCATCACGCAGCTCTTTTCGAGCTGCTATCGGCGCTGCTGCGTCACACGCCGCAACCAAAATGGGGTAATTTTTTTTAAATTTTTTGTAACCACGGAGGAATGTCGGTTTGTTACTTTTGCGTCAGTCATTTTGCTCACCGGTGACATTCAATACCAGAACGGCAGATATTTGCAGGTGATGTGATTGTGCCTTTAATATACAAGCATGGCATTTGGCACACAATCATAGTATGTCATGAGAAAGATATTTGGCTATAGGGCTATCACAGTTTTGCCTTTGATAAAGAATATACATGTAGGTAGAATAACAAGCAATGACAGCCATATTTGAAAATGTTAAAAGTGACAAATCTGCAAAAGCCCTATAGCCAAATATCTTTCACATGACATACTCTGACTGTGTGCCAAATGCCATGCTTGTATCATCAAAGGCATAATTCTTCCAAATATCTCCCCTATCTGCCCCACTATAGAGTGTGAAACTACATTATGTATATGCAGGAAATTGTCGGCCGCATAATATTTTAATTAATATAACGTTTTTTTAATTGTAGCATGTTTTAATTGCTTCAGTTACATGACAATAATTTTTCTTGAAAATTGTAGCTTTAGTATGCTTCCCAAATAGATACGTTGACAGTAACTGTTCCCATGATATGAATCGTATTTTGTTATGACACAATATATTGAAAAATGACATACTTCATAGCGAAACCTCTTGATAAATTAAGAGTATGCGAGTCTTGTTTAGCTGGTTGTAATCACAAAAGATTTTGTATATTTTTTAACAATTTTCTTAATTTCTGTTTCTATTTCAGAAAAATAAAATAGCAGAACACGCGTACAAGGTAAGCCTTTTATTTCTTTCAGGAAAATAAAACATGCAGGGTGAGTAAAAAAAAAGCGAAACCCAAATGTCGGGACTATGTATTTGTAGTGAAGTTCTGCATGTAGCACTTTCAAAATCTAGGATATGAAAGCCCAATTCATAATCTTTCTTTTAGTGCAAGGATCAATCAAATCACGCATGTGCTTTTTAAGTTACGGAATTTTAAACACAACCACCGTTTGTTTTAAAGTTCTGTCCACGGATCACAAGAAGGCAAGAGTTCTTTCAGCCAAACGAAAGCAAATCACAAAGGGATGCGTGTGAATATCGTTTTGCTGAAAGAACGCACACCTTTGTTTAGTGATCAGTGGACCGTGAGAACTTTAACACGGTGGTTTTGTTTAAAAGTCCTTTACTTGCAAAGTACATGTGTAATTCGAATGATGCTTGTACTAAAAGAAAGCTTAGAAATCGTGATTTAATATCCTAGATTTTGAAAGTGCTACATGCAGAACTTCACCAAAACAATAGTCCCGACATTTGGGTTTCGCTTTTTTGACTTACCCTGTATAGGCCATAGAGAAAGAAAAAAAACCTTTCCGTGATACGAAATAATGTTTACATTGGTAGCGTGGGCAAGTGGACAGTCGTTTTATTATTTATGACTGTCATGTCATTAAGGCTATACTATTGGCTCCGCATCACTGCGTATATCGACATGCTACCATCAGTAGTAACCTAATATTCTAGTTGGGCCTGCCCATCAAGCACAATATTCTATATATATAGTCGCTTCTGAAACGATCACTAAAAATATCTCCAGTCCCTAAAAAGGAACTGTTTTGTTTTATTAAGCAGTGAGAAATTCATAACACAAAGCGACATATTTACTATTAACTTTTAAAGTCTAAAATCAATTAATGACTCTTCACGCAGAGAGATATCATAGGTAAGTTTTCAAAAAAGCTGTTAACATTTACAAATATTTTGTAATAACACAAACTGATGTGTAATTCAGATTGACTCAAACACCATTTTATGTAACGAGTGTGTTTCACAAATAGTTTTTAACAGAAGCTGTTTAAGACTGAGACAAAAGTCATGTACCTGGTAGATTTTGTTCGGTACGATATTTACGTATTACAATTATATACGGCAGATAAAAGCTAATGCCTCTTTTTTCGATCCAATGATAACCAGCCTTTGAGTAATTCATCATGCGCTACTAACGGACTTATTTTTAGAGCAACATACATAAAAAAAAAAAACAGAAACGAGTGAGTCAGAATGCTATAGAAAGCATTATAGAATTCTTCTTGAGTGACTTTAATTTGACAATCCTCTAGATCGCGGTCCCGATTTATGGCCGTGTGCTGCTTGGAAGATGGCCACTCGATGGGTCGTTATTAATATCATTTTCCCGCTGGGCACGCCAAGTTATAAAAACAATAAATCTCCAATGGTTTGAAAGCGACAAGAAAGTATTACAGGGCGTCGTTTCCCTGTTTTCCTGTCCAAATGGATTTCAGCGATTAATTATGATTGATAGTACGTGTAAGACCCGGAAACTGACAGAGACATAAATTTTGATTCGCGCAGTACTACCATAACATGACTTGTGACGATAGTGATGGGCAACGCTCAATATTAAAATGTTATACCGGTGTTAAGCCTTACGTGAAATTGTAAGAGGATTTTGAAGAATGTATATATTTTTTTTATAGACCTGTGATATAACCTGGGATAGTATTTGTAGAATGTAGCTACATGTGTTTACATGTTCAAGGTGAGTTGGCTGTGTAAACGAGTTTCATATACGGTATACCAAATTGTGTTGATAGGCATGCGTAAACAGTTAACCGGCATTTCGCTTGCCAACATACAGAAGGATCAAGAATCGACGACATGTTATCGATTCCTAAAGCCACGAAGAATCGAAACATGTGCATGTCAAGTATGCGCGAATACTGCAAACACCGATTAGTGCAGAATCGACGATTTACACATCGATCTTAGAACTGACCTTTTTGAATTTAATCGGTTCTTTGCAAATAAACTGTGGTGAATCTGCTTCACGTCTCATGAAAACTGATGATTCTAACAGTTTTTCATATAAAAAGGAGTGATGGATAAGTCTATAAGCTGCATCCGAAGGTCAAAACTTCTTAATTGACATACCAACTGCGCACATGTTTTTATGATACACGGCGATAAGAGATGTGCAAACAGAAGTAAAATTGACTAAACGGAAGAGAGCGTGTTTTATCAGTAATTACTCCTTAGCGTGGTCAGTGCCATGAAACAAATTGCACCCAAATGGACCCCAATTTATTCCGCAGAGGCCGCGACCTGGCATGGTTGACCATCCGTATCGCGTCCGTTCATATTGTTGTCCATCCGTGTCGCGTCCGTAATTGTTGGGGTATTTTCCTCTGGCAAAACAGCTCAGGGTTTGAATGGCCGGCAGAACCATCTGTGAAATCTGACAGGGGTCAGTCTGTTGGAACGTGGACGGCTGACTGAGCTGAACTTTCAGTTGACCATGCCTTTTTGATCTCCCCAGGGATCACATAATGCAGTGTGACCAGTGTCGTGACTGCATCATATGAAGGGGCCATTTTAAAATTAGGTTTCGTATGCGGCTGCGGCTCGCATATCTATCTATCCTAGCCTAGACCTACTATACTCTACTCGCTTGTTATAGCGATTTGATGCCCTGCAGTCCGTCTCGACCTCTCAAGACATGGACTTAATATCATGAAATTGGAACCTAAGCCCGAACCGGTGACCAAGTCGAGGGGGAGATAAGCCTCAAAGTGTCATTAGACCCGCGGAGGACCATGCAACAGGCTACAAACTCGTACCCAGCTTGCAACGTATGCAATATCTAACTGAGCACAAACTTTTCGACACGTCGGTGTTATCTCACGAAACCACTCGTTTAAGATTGAACTTGTTTTTGTATATGATATGCGTATATATGCCCACTGTGGAGCTCAACGTTCTTCACCTTTACACGTATTACTCGCGTTCGAAGGCTCATCAATTAAAACATGCTTAGGCTATATTATATAAGCAAATCATGTTTCCAAATAAAACAAACAGAAGGTTACCTCCGCCATGGTGTTGAATGGTTGGTTGGTTGGTTGGTAAGTTTGTCTGTTAACAGGATAACTCAAAAAGTTGTGGACAGATTCTCATGCCATTTTTCTAAGGACGGTACAAGTACAAATCGATTAGATTTTGGAAGTGATCCGTATCTGTGTCTGGGTGTAGGATGTTTTTAAAGATTCTTCAGCGTGTCGTATTTGCGAATATGCTATGTGTAGAGACGTGTGTGGATATTAACGCAGCGTGCAGTCGATGAGCGCATAGCGAACATATCACTGAAGCCAACAGGTCAATGGACTCGATCATTTGATACTATAGGGGAGTTTGGAATGTGCAGTAAAATATGGAAGTCCAGTGGATGTGTGAGTATTTCTATCGGGTGTACTGACAATAATGGCAGGGAATTTTTTCAGCTTTGGCGGATGTTTGCGCTCTTTGAGTCCTTTCTAGTTGGATATGTTTTGATTTCGGGGATCGTGTAATTTTGTTCCACGACAAACAAGATTCTTAAATATTTGCCTAATGAACAATTATTATACTATTTTCTTAGTTAGAAAAAGCCGTTTCCTCTCCGGGTGATCTGTGTTCCATATTTGGTAGACATCATTGCTTATGTTGCTACCATCGTGATCCCCGGCCACATGGCATATACGGGTTGACGGCTTCTGACTCGCGCCCCTTGAACAAAGACCTCAGTTGGTAGAGCACCGGTACGCTAATCTGGAGATCACAGGGTCCAAATCTCACTCTTGTCATAGTCTTTGTTCAACGTCAAAAAAGATTGCACCCAGTAAGTTTCACTTTGTGGTTTATATTGCTTTAAAGAAAATATTATAATTGTCATCTCACTATGGACGATGAAGCCACAGTTTCGTTACAGAGTTACGAACTGGACACTTTCCCCGAAATGTTGCAACAGTATACCAAGTGCCAACAGCTGCGTAAGCTTATACAACGTATCAACTACTAATACAGATCATGGCGAAACCACTACCATAGGTGGTAGATGTAAACACTTAATGGATATTAAAATTGAATAATTTATGACGAGAGTGCCTTGACGTTGTAGCAGTGACGTGGTGCGTGAAGACGACCCTGTTCCAAAGGTATCCGATGCCTCATTTAATTACTTGGCAGCTGTGTTGTAAAATACACACCTGTCTGTGGACAAGCGGTGTAATGAACGCACGATCAGGTCCTGATAGCACCTGTATCGTTTGGGTTGGATGTTTGCTGAACAGTAAAAGTCGAACTTTTGAGACATCATTCACTTGCAAAGCGCAACGAACTATTCCCGTCGCTTCTGCGTGGATTGCATTATTACCCACACGAGTAGCCATTTAAGTAAACGAAGCTTTCCAGTGCTTATAAAGATAATAATAATGATTACCGAGAATGGATCACATGGGAGAAATTCCCATAGACTTGTACACAATTTATTTTTCCAACTTTAATGACCGCTTTTAAAGCTCAATTTTATCCGACCCCAACGGATTTTGGTATTTTTACTAATTGGCCTATGAACAACAGATATATAGCCTATTTGCGACGGTAAAATGTGGCCTCTAAATAGTGGCTAAGGCATTAGGGACACATTGAAATATCTCCTTAATTCCACATGCCTCCCGATACATGTATAATCTACGACGCTGGTGTGTCCCAAAGGTCCTATTTGTGGTTGTAAGTAGTGCTTAAATAGCGCTTTAAAGATCTCAAAGCGCTTTACAATTATTACCCTTGTTCATCGGGCAATGACACCAGTTTTTGCAGCACTTTGAGATCTGCGCATTCGAGTCTCTACCTTTACAGGGACCCACTTATACTAGTACTACGTGGTGAGAAGCGATAGTAGAATGTCTTGCCTAAGAACACAAGTACCGTGCTCCCCGTCAGGGTTCGAGCCCACATACCACGGCACGTCAGTCGAACATCGTTTGCTAGCTAGCGTAACCCTTTCCGTTATCTGGAGAGAATCAGAGGTTTTAAAATACACTGGGACAAAAGTATAAACAATATGAAATAAAAATACAGCATTAAGTGCATTTCGTTTACAAATGTATCATTGTTAAAAATGGTTCCCTATATTATTAGTTACCAAGTCGCGACAATTGTAAATTGTAAATTGGACGTTTTTGTAGTTCACACAAATTAGAAACATTGCAAACGAAATGTTTTGACTATATCTCGTAACATTTATTGAGGCTGCCCGATTATTCATGTCAGTGTTGAGATCATCTACACTGTTCAAATGCCCGTAAATTTACGGACTCCGTAAAGTGAAATATTCCGTATTTTCGTCGTAAATAATCGGATCTTTCCGTAAATGCAAATATTAATTATGCTAATTAGCGTGATTACAATCAAACACATCGGCCAAAACACCTACACATAATATAGTACATCTAAGTACATATTGTTGTTTCACCCACAACCGTGTACACATGCCCAAACTCATGTTAGGGTCTGTTTATTTTACGGAATGAAAACACTTTTCCGGAAATTTTGCTGCAGGAAAACGGAAAGCTATTTTCTTTCCTGCAGCAAAATTTCGGGAAAAAGTTTTTCATTCCGTAAAATAAAAAAAATGTGAAACAAAAATGATGTACGTGTACAGTCTCTTTAGTTCTCAGATCAAGCCATGATCTGTCGCGACATCGTTGTGACAATGAAGTCATTCGTCCGAGAACTTTAGGGGCGGGCCGAACGACACATCTCCCTCGCCTTGAAGACGAGCCTGCCGCCGGTAGTCGCGTCTGCCGAACGTGTCGCTGGACCCACTATCTGAGCGTTTGGTTTCGCGCGTGCCGGCGCCTCGTGTTTAGTGAATTTCGGCTGGTTTAAATGAGAATTATTCACAAAGGCGCTCATTGGAAGAATTGGGCGACACATCTTTCTCAAGACACTTGAATACATTTAAACGTACACTAGCACGAAATTTAAAAAGCGACAAGAGACCAAACGGTATTTGCACGGGAATGTAGCGCGCAGTATAAATTTCTTGCCTCTGCTAGGTTAACACATTCCCGAATTATAGCCACGCATACCCCATTCTATCCCGAATAAAAGTTCTTGTCGGCATCGGGAGAAATTGGCCCGAATTCCCTGTTTGTAAAAATAACTTAGGAATGAAACAGAAATAATCAAGAACTAGGTACAAATTGGAAGCCGAATCAGACCGAACCAAGCCGGGAAAAAAAATGCGATTTAGTGCAGAATAACACCGGATTGTAGCGATTTTGTCAAGAATAAAATACGAATAACTCAAGAATCATCCAGAATGACCCAGAATTATGCCGATTTAGTGCATTCGTAAGTTATTCTCATAATATTCGTACATTTCTTGATACATTCGTATTAATTTGGCATGATTCTGGACTGTTAACAATCAATTAATCAATCAAAAAATATGTTTAAAGCGCCAAAATCCAAAAAAAAGTGCTCTAAGGCGCTGATGGGGCACTATAAAGAAGAAGAAGACGAATTATAGATGGTACACCTCCTGAAACAGGTGAGCTTTCAGGAGTGTCTTGAATGTATGCAGTGAGTTGGTATCTCTAATGTATTCTGGAAGTTTGTTCCAGACAACACATACAATATAACTCTACGAAACAATATAACTCTACGAAACTTGTAAGAATGCTGTAAGAATAGCCAGAAGGCTGTAAGAATAGCCACAATTAGTGATAAGTACAAGAAAAATAAAGCAAACAATTGAAATTGGTTCCCGAATTACCTCGACAATTTTGAACATGTCCAAAACTGTCGGGGCGATTCCCGATCTTTATGCTAGGTTCACACATTATTTCCTCGAATTACCCCGATGTATCCTGAATAAAAACTCTTAATGGCATCGGGAGAAATTAGTCCCGATTCGCTGTTTGTAAGAAAAACGTAAGAATGAACGAAAAATAATCAAGAACTAGGTACGAATAATGGAAGCCGAATCAGACCAAATCGTGCCGAAGGATTGCGATTTAGTGCAGTATAAAACCGAATAAGCCTCTGTACTAATGACGTCACACTTTGTTAACATGTGCACTTTCCTATGGAGCCAGTGGGGGTCCACGGTCCACTGAGCACCATAGGAAAGCACACACGTTGTTTAACGTGTGACGTCATTAGTACAGAGTCTTGTTGAAGCGATTTTGTTAAGAATAATATACGCATTATTCCATCGTCATCCAGAATGACCCAGAATTATGCCGATTTAGTGTATTCGTAATTATTTTTCTCATAATATTCGTACATTTCTTGAAATATTCGTAATAATTCGGCATGATTCTGGACTGTTAACACAACTAATAACTCTACGAAGCTTGTAAGAATTCTGTAAGAATCATCCAGAATTTGTCATGAATACAACAAGAATAAATGAACCAAGAATTGAAATTGGTTCCCGAATCACGCCGACAATTTTGAGCACTTCCAAAATTGTCGGGGCGCTTCCCGATCTTGAACGAGCTTTCACCGAACTAACAGAATCATCCCGAGACAGCCAAGAACCATTTCCCGATTTTACTCAAGAATTGCTATTCGCGGCGAATCGGCTTAAAAATCGGGAATGTGTGATCTTAGCATTAACGATCTTTCACCGAAATAACATAATCATCCCGAGGCGGCCACGAACCATTTCCGGATTTTACTCAAGAATTGCTATTCGCGGCGAATCGGCTTAAACATCGGGAATGTGTGAGCCTAGCAAAATGAAGGGGAAACGAAAACTGTATTTGTCTTATTTGTACAATTTCCTTTTCTGCCTGCTGAAATAATACCAAACTTATCGGCGGAAGATAATCTTCCAATGAATCGGGCGTGTTTACTCCTTGAAAACACCCTTCAGCAAAAAAAACCTTGCGAGACTACTTACAGGCTTTGAACACCTGAGGCACAGTGCAGGTGCAGTGTCTGTAGCAACAAAACTCCGCTTGATGTTTTTGTTTAATAGTGCACGTCATAAGACTAGAACTATAACTGAAACCCTAATGAACAACACGTCAAATATCGGGCATTATGACGCACATTACAGCTCCGTGCTTTGAACACGTATCGAACATTTTGCAGGTAACTCCTTTTTACCACTTTGATTCCCGACTGGGATGCTCGCGCGTCGTTTCACTGCCCAATTCCGAGGATAGAGAATGTGTCATCAGCAAATTGACGCCGGAACCTCTTGCGCTTAATTTGAAGGGGTGAAAAAACCGACACGTCTGGTCGCCGCAAACCGCAGCGCATGTCCAACAATGTCCCGTGGGTTTGTGCCGAGGGTGAGAGAACTCATCAACATTACCGACGCGCATGTTGGTCACATGACGCGGTATCGGGTTTCAGTGGACGCGTCTGGCTGGAAGTATCATGCCACAATGGATATGCACCGAAGTGGTACCCTCTATGTTTTATACTTGAATGTTGGCTGGGAGGCTAATTTTATGCATCGCAACATTAATGTATCGCGATGCAGTTGACACTTTTAGAGAGCACAGGGTGAGGGGAAAATAAGCAGTCACTCATGAGACAGGCAACTTTTAAGCCTCTGTGCCGCGGGCCGTTACTAACGATTAACCATAGGAGATCCGGGGTCACTAATGTCAATTTTTTAGCACTCGCAGGAGCTTCTACATGTCACTTGGTGGTCGGTCGGTTGGTCTGTCTGTCTGTCCCCGAAAATCGACCCCCAAAAAATAATACCAAAAAATAATAGACTCATTCACGAAATGCCACGCCGTAGTCATAAAATGCACTGTGAATGCATAGCTATTTTGTTTCGATCGATGCGCATGCGCATTTATTTTGCACATGTCTGTCCCCGAGAATTGACCAAAATATACCCCATAAGTTTCCCACAAAATATAGATATCAAACAATAATTTTCAAAAACAAATATACAAACAAAATCAATTAAATACTTAATAACAAAAGTGTTTGTATCAATTCTGAAAGATTTTTTATGAAAAAGTTTGTAAATTGAAAATATGTGCAGTATTGTTATAGTCACGTGGTATTTATCACACATGACTTTAAATCTACGTAAACATCTGAAGTATGGTGTTCCATATGTGCCATCGACATCGCAATTTTGGGCGTCGCATTTTTAAGCTCTGGCAGGGATCGTTTTGATGGATTTCATGCAAGACTTTCATGCAAGACGGCCAGAGCTTATTGTGCACTTGCACTTGTCTTTTTTTTTAATCCAGGCTTGTTGCCTTCTTTTTGCTCCTAAAAGAATTTATTCTTAACACTCCTGACATTATATCTTCACCATAGGAGGAAACATCTCTGAAAAGTATCGGCAAAATCCAGGGAGAAAACTTGTTCTTTGCCCCTAACAAGTTGCACATAAAAAAAATTATTCTTATCCAGAATTAGTGAAATAGCTCTGTGAAAATACCCTTATATGTCAAAGTGCGTTAGGTCGCAAGATGAGACAACAACAACTAAAAGCATTGAAAAGACATCTATTGAACCCTGAAGACTGTCAGTGTTATATTGAAAGGTCTAAAATAATAAAATACGAAAAACCTAACCTCAACAATATTGAAAAGATTGATCATTACATCCACCTTACACTTTTATAATAAAACGGTCACCGTCTTGAATTAAAAAAAAAAATAGTACCCTTTCCAATTGTCTTTGCTTACTTTATGCCACCAGAAAATTGCAAGACTGCTGGCGGAGCGATACATCTTAGATCATTCGTCCTCCAGTGGCGGTGATGCGGAGAATGCCGTGTCCAGGGCTGACGTCATGGCCATCCGGAACGACGTGGCCGTCTTCAGGTAAGCAATGAAATTAAGGTATTTTGGCAAGAGGTTGAAATTTTATATTGGGAAAATCGGCTTTTTAAAAACCTTCACTTGGAGTTATTCCACATTTTACTGAGCTCTACAGGAGTTTGAGGAAGGTTTAAAATACGTTGTGATGTTCGTTGTTATTTGGTTAAATTTTGTTTACATGATACAATTTTCCGTGGTTATAAATGCATACATTACCGATCAAGTTCGATAAAGATGCATTGGTTGACTAGTTGCTGATTCGTGACGTACATTACTTTGCACCTGCGATATAAGTACATGTACACACGTATGTGCGACTCTACGCGTAGCTGTACAGTCTTGATAAACAGCCACGCAACCAATTAACCTTATAGGCTGGTTCCAAATGGTGGACTAAACTAGTCCAACAATCCTCGACTGACTTGCGTTCGCAGGGACGGATCCAGCTTTGGCTCCGCGGGGGGGGGGGGGGGGCTGTTAAGAAGAAGGAAGGTGGTGAAGTAGCAGACATGTGCTACTCATTTCGGCATTTTTCTTGCCTCTCTTGGGGCGGGGGATAGGGGGGCGGGTTTGAATGCCTAACCCTCACCGTAGACTCGCTACTGCAAAACAGCAAGGTTTACTTGACCCATTGAGCAGTGTAACAGAGCTAACGTCGTATTTGCTGATCGAGCGTACGCATTGTTAAAAGCTGTATAGCTCTAGGCAGAGGTAGCATTTATAGTTCATGAAGGCGCAACCAGGTCAGGTCATGTCGTAAATAGCACAACCATCTTACGGTTGATTCATTAATAAAACACTTCAGAGTACTTTTTATAAAAAAAAGAAGAGAAAATGGGGGGGGGGGGAGAGAGAATAGAAAAAAACGTATGCACCGAGCGGTTGGATGGTACACTTCAGTCGTCGCTGACCGGCCCAAGTTGAATACATGAATATCAAATCACCGGTACGGTTTGTCCGAGCGGGACTCTGAGCAAGTCACCACCGTGGACGGACCCAGGTTAAGCCAAGATTGAATGCAGCCGTTCATAATTATGTAATTCGACTATCGCTTGATGGGGATTCTCGATTTCCGAGATTGGATGAACTATCTTTTCTTAAATGAAAAAAGTAAGACTGCTGCAAACTGCTTACTGACTGGGTGGACCTGAAATATATAAATCTAAAAATTAATGTGGCCTGACGTTGCAAACTTAGCAAGTTCTTCTTCAGAGGCTAAAACAGAAATTTTTGTTTTAGCCTCTGAAGAAGAACTTGCTAAGTTCGCAACGTCATGCCACATTAATTTTTAGATTTATCTTTTCTTAAGGGAGAGTTCCATCCAAATTGTTCCTGGAGATTCACGTATAAAGATCCTTATTTTAGATCCGGGTTTGTCGTGTTTTTGTTTGTTGGTTAATTTTTTTTTTTTTAATTGATCATGTTATTAAAGGGACATTACGGCCTGGATACGCCCAATTGGGCTAGAAAACGAGTTTTAAACGAAATTATATTAAATGAAAAGAATATTTGAAAGTAGAATATAAACGTCCACTCACCCATCCGTCACAACCTGGGCGTTTTTGTGTTATTTATGCGAGACCAGTGTGAGAACGAATTTCGGGGGTCACAATAATAGTGTCCCGAAGAATCGAGCTGTTCAGTTGTGTGCCTTCTGCGGACGTGTAAGAAATAACATCGGTGTATTGGCACTGTGTGTAATTAATGTGACACACACAACGAGTATCGTACATTGAAGGAAAACGATAGGAAAAACGTACTCGTATTCCGTCGTGTCCAATCTGTACAACCGGTTTTTCGTTCGTCTTTTCTCGGGAACAGTGAGACATTAGGTTAGTTTCCTTTCAACTAGACCTCTAAAGCAGTAGAAGTAAACAGCAAAAACCATGACATTTTCGAAGATTTCAGGCCGTAATGCTCCTTTAATGCAAACAGATGGTGGTTTATTTTATCATTCCATGTATTTATGCAAGCAGAAAAAGGTCAAACAAAATTGTGCAATACAGTAGCTGTGGACCAACTTAGTGACCTCGAACAATATCTGTTCTAATTAATTCGAAAATTTACATGAACATCCACTCCAGGTCAAATACGTTAAAACCTGCACGTTTGTCTGCTTAATTGTTTTTTTTTTTTTTTCCTTTCATTTTTTTATTTATATTTATTGGGGCATCCACTCCACAGTGTAGGATAACATCTGACTAAGGTACCTGCATGCCTGAAATGGGCTCAGGCGGCATGGTGGCTTCAACCTGGTGAAATCGTTGTGTAAGATTGTGTTTCATTTGGTATCAGTCCTGCAACCATTTTGAACGGTGTTTTCATAGCATGGCACGAACAACCGATATGTTATTTCAACCAGCTCTCAGCTGTGCTATAGATATACTGGCCTTGGGTTGTTTCGGTTGCGTGACAAGAGGTATTTTTCCAGCATTTTCGGTTTGGCTAGAATCTAAAACTGATGCTTGATCATGCCCATGGTATTTGTTTCCATGGTGATCTGTTTGTTATTTTCGGGATGTGTTTTGAGGGCAGTACGATCGTGGCAAGGCCAATATAATGTGTACACGTCTGCAAAGTCCAACAGTTAAAAGGCGATTATACTTTGACCCGACTGAGTTTCACAATTCAAGCGCGTTTGTTTTAGCAAATTTTATATTTTTTTGAAAAAAAGAAGTCAAAGTCAGATTGAGTCAAAAAATTGGCGCCACCTATATCTTAAAGACGATCTGCATGTAGCACTTTTCAGCTCTAGGATATGACAGCCCAATAAAGAAGGTTTCTTTTAGTGAAATAACAATTCAAATCACTCATGCACTTTTCCAGTTATGGACTTTTAAACACAACTACAGTTATAAATGTTATCCAAGGATCACAATAAAGATAAGTGATTTCAGCAAAACGAAAATAATTCTTAAATCAAAATAACACATCAGACACGCTCGTAACCATGATAACTGGCTCTTATTATAACATTCATTTGAACACCTTCTGCTTCCGATCTTAAAACAAGATTAGCGTGAAAGTTCATCTGTCTTGGAAGTTAAATATAATTTAGAGGTAAACTTTCAATCCCAACACTAGAGAATTTCGTACCTGTAATTTTCGACCGAAACTCCGGTCTTCATCAGCAGGATGACCCGGATGTTGCATCCTTGACCTTACGGACGCGTGATCCCAATACCCCCCCCCCTCCCGGTTCAGAGAATGTTTGTAGGCTCTGATGTAAAACAACATGTTTTATAATGTCAAAAGTGTATAGTCCTTCCCCGCCTTCTACGTTGCTACCCCGGAGACTTATGGGACTATTCAGGTACCATTTTCATTAAACGACATGGTTTCATTTTACTGAAATATCACCTTAAATGTGATCCGTGGACAGCATTTTATAAGAGTGGGTGGGGGGGGGGGGGTTCAAAACTCCGTAACTGGAACAGAACATGACTGAGTGATGTGAATGATTCTTGTACTAAAAAAGGCTGATTAGGCCACACAAAAAAGTCTCCGGTTTCTGTTATGGAGCTTGCCCCAAAAGTGGCGGCGACGCGGCTTTTTTTTTTTTTTTACCTGTGGTTTTTTTTTTGGCTTCAAATGTCGGCTGATGACTGCAAATGGTGCCCGACTAAACTTAGTGCAAATATATGGGAGTCCAGAGAGGCCACATAAAGCTTATTCTCGATCATAACCCCATCTAAAAACACGTTAAAATTGTGCAGCAGCAGGATTCCAGTCAAACCAGTGAGTTTGGCGGTTTTGAGACATCATCTTGTATTGAAAAAAAAACTTTTTCATTTTGCCGACGCGCATGGCTACGGCGACGCGCGCGCGTACCAGAAACCAGAGACTTTTATTTTTTGGCCTTAATTGGGCTCTCATATCTCATTTTTAAGAGTAAACCTTTCCCTTCGAACTCTTCGAGGAAATTGTTACGAGTATGACATCCATCGCAGTTATGTCGTCATTCATTATATCAGGTCAGGTGACTTCATTGTTATTCTTGAGAAATGAAGTTCAGCAGTAATAACCTTTAAAGAGAAATCAGAGCAATTAGAAGGCCGTCACGTTTCAAATTTAATCCTAGCTGAATCTCTGTCAAAGGCAAAACGACAGGGGCACAGAAACAGACAAGTGAGGGACACACATACAGGCACTGGATGGAAGAAACTACAATTGACAACTTTGACTCCCTCCCTCCCTCCTTTTGTGTTTTTCTTTCCAAATCAATGTTTGTGTGCCGCTCACCTGTTTGATACGGTGTCACATGAAAATCGGACTCGTATGAAAATCGGACCCTTTTCCCCTTTTATTGGTTAAACCCTCTCACGTGACCGCTCCCTCTCCTAATTATCTATGCTTGGGCATGCGCAAAACCACCAATGAGTCCGTATTTCATAAAACCTAAATTCATGCTACACCGTACTCCTGTCCTTTTGCCTGTGGCAAAGATCTACCGGGTTCAGAACGTCAGACCGTCTAATTATGTTTGATTTGTATATTTCAGGTCAATTCCGTCAGCAAGCAGTTTGCAGCAGTTTGAGTTTCATTTTCACTTTTTTAAAAGAGTTATCTTCGGCGTGCCATAAGTACAAAAGTTAGGTTTCAGTGTATTTGGTTAAGCAATTTCTGAAGCAGCCTGTGGATGGGTATTCAGCTTCCGGTCACTCCAGTCAGCAAGTAGTTTGCAGCAGTTTTATTCATTTTCACTTTTGAAGAGAACTATCTTCGGCGTGCCATAAGTACTTAAAGGGAAGATACAACATTTGCAAACATCAAAAAAACGAAATGATCAAATTATCACGAAATATCTTACTGGATTGTTAGGGAATGACAGTCTAAAGCATCCTGTAAAGTTGTATTTTTCCAAAAAGTGCTCCTTATTTTTCATATTTAGTTCGTCTGCATTTCCTTTGCAATTGATTACACACCTGTGTAGACTACAAGCCTGCTAGACTGATTCTCTGATCTCACAATTCCCCAAAGTCTATAAATTGCTCTGTTTCATCTTAAGTGTGGTCAGGGAACCAGACTACAAGAATATGGTTGGTTCTCTTGTTTTTTTCCAGCTTCTACGAACCCAAAACGTGAAGCAAGTCAGTGTAACAAAATTTGCTATAACATACAAATCCTCCAAATCCATTTATTTCTTAAAATTGCGGCAAAAGCAAATGATGTACATTAGTTTGGATTCAGTGTAGTTGGTTAACGAATTTCTGAAGCAGACTGTGGATGGGTGTTCAGCCTAATTTTGACAGCTTTAGCAGCACTGATGCCGTTTCTGGCGGCCATAAAACCCGTTGACCCGCTCATCTCGTCTTCTGTAACAGGCATACATTTGGCTCCAATCTAGGTCCATATTATGTAACTTTCTGCGGGTAGATGGTGCAAACACCCCCCCCCCTCCTTTTTCCCCCAGAAGAAATCAGCTGTAAAACCCACTTGAATATGCAAGTTCGGTATCCCAACTGCGCATGTGCACATCATGATTTGCCGACTTTTCGTTCGGGATAACAATTTCACCGTATGCATGTAAAAACATAGCGGGGTACCAGCAAAATTGAAAAGATCATCGTGTTCTTCGGAAGTATAACATTTTGCCCCCCCCCCCCCCCCAAAAAAAAATGGACAACGAAGTGTTTTTCTGTGTCTTATGTGTCAAAACTTTTGTGCGAACGAAATTTCCATCTCTTTTCATTTGCACGAAAAATTGCACAGAATGCAGATTTGGTTACCACGTCCCCCATAGCTTTTTGTGCATTTATCTGCTGCGGTTATCCCGAAGAAAAAAAACATCGTGGAATCTTGCTGTGCACCAGACTATTTTGGAATACCGAACTGCCTTATTAAGTGTAGGACCTTCAATTATTGTTTGCATCAGTGAGTAGTGCGGGTACACCACCAGCCATGCAGCTAATGCCATCTGTGAACTAGATTTTGAAGTTGGCAAATGTGACCTGCCATATTATAATGAGGATTAACCCCCACCTTTGACTTTCCACGTTATCATTGGCTTTCCAATGATACCAAATGTATTGCTATAGCTAAATGTATTCCAAAGATATGACGCAGGAACTTCAACAGTGTCCTGCCAAGTTTCTCTAACCTCATTTCGATAAGAACGGCTTTGAAAAAAAAAAGACACGCATCGCGCCGGCAGTGAAAAACGTTCTTTCCACTTTTTGGGTATTTTTTTCCAATAAATAAAAATGAATAGTGGGACTCTTGGATACCTTGGTTACTCAAAAAATTCAACACAACCAAAAACGATTTCCACATGATTTTTCTAGTATATCCGACTTCAGGCGTCGATTACTCGAAACAAGGTTTTGGGGGACATTCCTCATTTTGCCTCAGTAGGTCACGGATTCGAACACTTGGACTGCGAGCACATTCAAGTTGACCGTGTTCCCAAACCAAATGTTCTTTGCTATTTCAGGTCAATCCACACTGTAAAGAAATAATGGGTAAAACACTGTTGGGCAATAAAATGTTACCCAACATTGGTTTGAAATTACCCAATGTGGGTAAAATTTTGCCAACAATTGGGAAGAATTTGCCCAAGAGTTTAACCTGTTGATATGTTGACCAACGTTGGTCTACATATCAACCCATTTTGCCCAACGTGTTAACAGTGCAGTCAGCCAGCAGTTTGCAGTATTTTTTTTTCTCTTTTCATTTTCACCTTTTGAAGAGAATTATCTGCGGCGTGTGCATAATTGAGTACTTAAGTTTTGTTTCATTGTATTTAGTTAACCCATTTATAAAAGCATTTGGATGACTATCAAGCTTCATTTTGACATCTTTAGCAGTACTGATGCCGTTCGACACAGTCATAAAACCGTCATATACAGTCATAAAAAGATTGTCTTATGTAAAAGCGATATAGGAATACATTGGTTCCGTTGACCGATTCACCCATCTTTTACTTTCTGCGGGTAGTTAGTATTTAAGAAATCAACCGTAAAAACCCACTTGAGTTGTGGGACCTTCAATTGTTTGCATCAGTGCGTAGTGCAGGTACAACTAGCCGTGCAGCTAAATTCTGCAATCCGTGAACTAGATTTGGAAGTTCACAAATTCGAACACAGGACTCCGAGCAATGTAAACCAATGCCCCCGTGCTAACTCACTCTGTCTGGTCCCCGATTTCTGTGGGCTGACAGTCCATCTTTTTCAAAGCGGCATGGATTCTGTATTGTTGCTACAATGTACAAACATTTAATATCTGAAGGAAGTCGGACAAAACATTTCATGGACACAATTCATATCCATCTGACCGCCCCGCATTCAGTTTTTACAACATTCCTTTTGTATGTTGACAGACAACTCCATAATTACCCATATACAATGTGGAGCGCCGTGACCTCGTGGTCTGGAGCATTGAATTCGTGGTCTGCTGGTAATTCTGCAGGTTGTGGGTTCGAATCAGCCTGCGGCTATGGTGCTTGTGCCCTTGGGCAGGCAAGCCACTTTGTCACTCATTGCTTCTCTCCACCCAGGAGTAAATGGATACCTGTAAAGGCAGAGGTGGTTATTGTGGTTGATTTAAGCCGCTTTGCGGCAGCATCGAGCTGTACACTCCCAAAGGAGCTGAAATGGTATTTGAAATGTTTCATTGGCCCAATGAGAAGGGTAATAATGATGTAGCCTAGAACACCAATAATGGTGGATACTTGCGCTTTATAAGTACCCATTATTGTTTATTATTACACAATGGCATTAGCTGATTTTATGCAGAGATTTGTAGGAATAATCAATTTGCAGCAGTAATCTGGTCTGATTTCATGCAGCTGCTCAACAGAATAATTGCCTCTTCTTGCTTAACAAACAAATGTTGTTCTAAGAAACTACATGTTATGTTAATAATAGCAGCTCTTGGTATTAGTTCTGGAGCGCCATCCCTCACAAAATCACAAATCTTAATATTCAACCATTAATTCTTAGCGTTTCCGATATAACAGCCGCACCAATATACCACATAAGCCGCCACGGGCCTCTCTAACGTCACAAAGATATTAGCGTTGCAACATAATTTGGTAAATAATCGGTCATGTATTTCGACCCAACCAATATGGAAGTAGGCCTACTAGACCCGAAAGAGAGAAAGAAAGCAGCATATATTTTGTCCCACAACATCCCGCATTTTTTCCCCTGTTATATAAACATTTCGTTTTGAAGGGTCATTTTCAATCCCACTTTTGACATCTTACCAGTCCGTTCCTCACAAACGAGATGTTCAACCCCACTTCTGAAACTTTCCCCATAACTTCGAGAGCTTGTATTGATATTTTGCAGGCTATTGTCAATCACACCTCTGACACCGTACTATTTTATTCCCTAGATACGGGACTTTCAGCCCCACTTCTAATACTTTACCATTCAGTTGCCAAGACATACGATTTTCAACCCCATTTCGATTTTCTCCTAAGACACGAATCTTATAATCCCTCTTGTTTACATCATGTCATTTAATTCTCGCGATAGTAGACTTTCAATCTTACTCTGACACCACTGCATTCAATACTCCAAATGCGAGACTTCCAGTACCACTTCAAATCACCAAGTTGATATGATGGTTACTGATCCCACTTCTGCCACCATCTGTTCCGTTACAAAGAAACGGAATTTTCATGCTACTTCGCTACGCTTATACGCATGAAAACACAGTTTAGTTTAATACGCCAACACAGCAATTCAAGGCAATATACGCAATTGTTTGATAATTCTTGATAATAATATTTTATTCAGACAGCATGGGATGTCAGGTTTACATGCACAATGATGCATGTTGAAAAAAACACCGTCCAAGTAGTCTTTAAACTTCTGAAAAATTAAACTTGTATCAGAGGGTCGCCCCTCTTCGGTCGACATAGTGTCTTCGTAAATTTAGGACTAAGTAAGAGCAGCACGGTGTCTAAGCAGCGTTCAGCATCTGTGCATGAGCCTGAAGTGAAGGGCGTTGGCTGGGAGCACGGTTAAATACCGCGTTCACCGTGATTACGTAATAGAGGAATTTGGTTCACCGTCTTTCTGTGCCAAACAAAACTACATTTTCAATCTCACTTCTGACACTACTTCATTCCGTTCCCCAGATACGAAACCTTCAAGTCCCTGAACGCGGCTGACCAGTCGTTCGATAACCTGCAGGACGTCCTTGCTAACATCAAGCTGCAGCTGCAGAAGGTGGACGACATCGGGGCCAAGACCGAGCAGTTGGACACCAGCGTGAAGGACCTGAAGGAACGGAACCGGGTCATCCGGAGCACGGTAGATGGCATGGCTGCGTCCTTGCTACGATCACGGGCCGGCCGCTCGCTGGTCGGTCATTGATCTAACATCCCACCTCTATCCATGGCTCATTGATTTGTTTTGGTTTTAATTGCTGGCAGTTGCGAAGTTAATCAAACCAGTCCAGACAAACGTTGCTCCATATACTAAACACTATAATTACAACCCATCATCAACCAGCAATTTGCTGAATAATCTGGATATTGGGGAATATGTCGCTCATGTCTTGTGTACTTTTCGCTGTCTCATGCGAGATTATCTTTAAGTCTATTGGGGAAAATCGTGACTATTAACAGTTTGAATCACTTTGACAAAATGTAACAGACCATGTGTTCTTCAAACCGAGATGAAATTTACACAAAAAGGCGACCCAGTTTGTCTGATCTGACTTTTCAAAAACGTTGTATCCGTCAACGAACTACACCGAACTCTAGTAAACCTCGTATTTTGGAGAGAGTTTGATACTAGTGAAGAAAAAAATAGATTGTATCGGTGTCGTATTGGTATGCACTTCATATGTAAACTCCCTAGTATGTACCTGGACGATAGAGAGTTTAACTATGTTATAAGTCGGACGACTTTCAAAATGTGGTCTACAGAATAGGAAACCTTTTTCTCGTAATTTACCTTTTGTACACAGACTATCTTTTAGAATGTAATACATTTACTTTTTCTTTTTTTTTTGTATTAATACTTATAAAAAATATTTGAAGACACAAATCTTTAATGTGCTAATTGTAATGAACTCCATTAATTGTTCACACAATTTGACTTACGTACCGTAAAAATACTAGCCTAACCGTCATTAGAAATGGGGGGAAATGATTTAATAAAAGAAACTAAATTTTACGGAAGTTTCATGACATGCCATAATTTGTGTATACATGTAATATGATGAGAATCCGTTGAAGCTCAGTTTTGTTTTGGCTGTGGGTATCTTAAAAATTGGCACAGATAATTGTACATAATGAAAGTCTTTCCGAAATAGTTGTCCAGTTTCTTTTTTAAGTATATTTAAAAGCCCCATCGCAAGCCAATTGAGCCAGGTTTTAGCGCCATAATCTCCGCTTCTATAATTCATTCAATGACGCCTTTTTGGTCGTGTTGTGAGTTTAGTGAAGAATTTCAATTACATTTACTTCCTTAAAAAACAGTGTTTTAGTTTTGAGTTCATCGCAAGTCCTTACAAGTCCATCACGTGGTAGTCCCAGGTCAAGTCATAAACCATTCAACTGAACGAAGTCAAAAGAACGAATGAATGAAAGTTATGAGCTATCCAAATGTATTTTGTTCTTCCCTACTACTAAATACTGGACTGGTAATGGCCTTTTGATAGAGTCGATTGTAATTTTTCGTCATCAGATGTATCATGTAAATAACTATGTTTCTTTAAATTTGTACTAACAAACGATTGCACGACTGTTCGTTTGTAAACAAACAATATGAAATGTAAAAAAAAACAAAGAGTAAAACCTACAAGGACAGGTTGTTTTGTTCGGCAGCTTTTCAATTATCTGTGCCTCAAAAATATTTCGGCAGTGTGTGTCTACCATTTAAGGTTAACAATTTTAACTTGTTGATTGCTTTTGATATTAATGTTTGAGCAAACCAAAGGTAAATGTGAATATTATTTAAGTATAAAATGGTCTTTAAGTTCGTGTATAGTCACTTAGAATTAGATTCTGTAGGATATCCTTGCAAGTATGTTGATTAACCTTGAACCAAAATAACCGGAATTTGTGTATGAGCTCCGGAGAAGAATTTTACACGAAAACCCTACCTGATTGTAGATATCACCGGTGTGATTGTGTAATCATGCATCAATAAGGAAAACACGATTGACTTGATCGTCAACAATTGTATTTCACCGGTCTGCAATTATTTTTTTTTCTGCAGCCAAGTTTAGTCAATGACCATAATGCGTATGCGTGAATTCGTAAACGGATGGTTTTCGGACTTAACTTTCCCAAAATAAAAATCCTCCGGAGCCATTAAACATGAAAAAAAGGTGAATTTTAATTCATTGATTAGTGTAGGCCTTGATTAAAAACAATTTGGGTCATAAAAATGTGATCGCGTGATAGTATCCACGCATGCGTATTAAGGTAAATAAACCTGACCAGAATGCGGAAGAAAAAAAATGCAACCGGTCTTACCAGCAAAAAAAGGCTTCATGATCACGTGATGCTGTTGTAGTGCCTTTACGAACAATTTATAACAAAGTATGACGCTTCTCTTTTAATATGTATTTATAGACTGGTATTGGTAAATGTGATTTAAATAGCTTTTTGTAAACTTGTTTGTTCATTAGTAAACGATTTCAAGCATCAGTAAAAAGAGATCCAGTATTTAACGAAGGGTTGAATGATGTAGGACGCTTTTTTGTATCTTTTAACAAGCAGTTTCTTTCGGTATTAAGTCTTTCTTTTGTTGGTTAATTAACATGGAGCGTTGGTTTCGTGTGGGTGGCCACTCAATTTCGTAAATTACATTTGAAGTGGGCAGCAGAACGATTTTTAAGACTAAAATTATACCCCCTCTTGTTTTCAGTTTTCAATTGGTAGATTGATGATCATTGTTCAGAATTTAAGAGTTGAATTGTATTTTTTAAAACAAACAATCTTGGTTATATTTTCTCTTGGTTTTGACAGCCGGCCATAATTTGTCTATTAGTGGCTGGCAAATGCAACGGTTGTAAAGCTATACAAAAGGAGTTGTATGTTATCGGATTGAAGCACTTATGTAGAAAGTACTACAAACAGAAGAACATTAATTTGTCTTGACGGTACGGAAATACATCATTTTCATTAACAGTAATCTTTGCAGTGCGATTTTTGTAGCGATGGGTTAGGCATGGGTACACATCCCTGCATTCTATTTTACTGTATGAACAAAAAGTAACAAGCTAAAAAAAACCTCACTAGATATGGCTGCCGAAGGAAAGGGCTCTTTGCTTATACGAAAATACTATGTTGGTGGCATGCATGTCTTAAATGTCATAAAGCAAACTATAGGCTTTATGCACAAGTCGGCCATTTTAAATTGCAAGCGAGGAAAAATGCTCAAGTTTGGAACTGGCGAATAGAAATGAAAACATTTACATCCATTTAATTACACATTAATACCAGTCTGCTCTGATGAATAACTGAACAATTGTGTGATTATACATACCCTAATGTTTTAAGCCACATTTAAACAAGTGAGGCTTGAAACGCATTAATAGTCTGGCACCATCCCATTCAACGGTTCACAATGTACATTGTATACGATAGATTCAGGGAACACGATCCAAAATGGCTTCCGAATAAAGTCTGTGAAATTCGAATGCGCTTCGCTTGTGGTAGTACAGGTCAACCATCACGAGCCAGTTTTTCCGAAGTCACGAGTCGAGCTGTTTGAACGACCTGAGACAAAGGCATTCCTTTTTATTTTTCATCATCCGTAAATTTTGATCCCTTCGTTTCTTAGAGCTGCCTCTTGTATGACTCTTACTCGCACAGAGGACTTTCTTTCTTAGAAACTTGGAACTGTTATACGGTTGGTGTACAGCGCGTCCCAAAATACCCGCAACATTTTTTGCGAGACTCTAGCGTCGCCGCGGAAACACGTATTGCGATTTTTTTTTTGATATCGTTTTAAAGCTTTGAATCTTAACTTTATCCCTGGTAAGTATTGGTTTGATCTTCAAAAGGCTTTGAAATTATTTGTGTACAAATAGAAGCATGTCAAAAACAAACTCAACCGATTTCAAGGCAAAATCAATTATGCACATTTTTTTTCGAATGTGGAAATGCTTCATCGTTTTGTGACGATCTCGTTGCCTTTTACTTTCTGTGTTTCATTGTCTTTTCGATCCACGTAGACTACGCCTTAAATAAATTCACAATATTGTTGTTCGTTTCAAGTTCAATGTGTTTTTAACATATATCAGCATTTTTTTGGGTTATTTCAATAGCATCTGATGTACCATATCGTCGATTTTCCTTGAAATCGTTTGAATTTGTTCTCGACATGCCTTTATTTGAACACGAATAACTTTTAACTCTTTTACATATCAAACCAACGCTCGCCAGGGATAAGGTTAAGATTCCAAGCTTTAAAATGGTATACAAATAATGGCGTTATGTTTTTCCGCGTCGACGCTAGAACCTTGCGAAAAAAACAGGAAAAAAAACAGGTGCGGGTATTTCGGGACGCGCTGTACACCAAGATTGTTTAGCCGTCTTTTCCCTCGCTGCATTTTCTGACTTTTTGCACTCTGCACTGACATTTCTGCTTTTACTAAGTCTTTCTCCACAGATTTTGAATTGAATTTCAAAAGAAGCTAAATCCAATCCGTGTGTTCCAGTGTTTAAGTACTTTTATATTTAGTAGAGTCTTGTGGCTCTCAGCGTAGTTTGATTGTGCAGCACTCTTTCAGTGTTTTGCGATAGGTATACATGCACTTTATACAACATATCTTGGTATTGTAGGTAGCACTCGCCTGCAGTGGTGTTCGCGTCGTTAACTGTAAAATAACGTTCTTTGCAAGTTATTAAAATAATATTGAAACAGATTTATTTTTGATACTAATAGTCATTGGGTTGATTTATCTGCAAGTGAGTCGGTAAAGGGTTTAAAGTAATGGCTCCTGAAGTGTGGTATTTCACCACTAACGTTGTTATTTATACACAGTGGAAGGACATATTTAATAAAATAATGCATCTTGTGGCGGCGCAATAATAAATGAAATTGTCTAATAATCTGTCTTCGTTATCGGCGTCTGCTTCTTTTCTGGTGTTTTATTTTGCTTCAGTATTTGTCTGTTTCAACTGAAACTTGATGTACAGTTTGTGCCCAAAAATGTGTAACATTCAGAAAACAAATTTTACAAATCCATTTCATCCCGTTTCTAGTATGCCATCGTTAATTCGCTGTAACACAAATGTAGTATATTACATCTCTCGAGAGTGTTATAAGTTGGCGGTCTATATTTCCATTCCTGAAATCAGCACCCCTTAAAATTGAATGTCATTGAAAAGCTCATTAAGCTCATTCAGTGGTGACGGGTCCATCATTAGGAGAACGGAAATGCACCTGATTCTCAGTCAGTAACATATCTTAGAAAACAATGGGCGCGTGATATGCTTCACGCATGCGTGATATGACCAATTACTAACACGGCTATAGACCATTCAGGGCACGATATATTTTTTTTTTTTTTTTTTTTTTATAATTTGCTAACTCGTTCCCACGAATTACTAATTCGTTCGCACGAATTGCTAATTCGTGGAAACGAATTGCTATTTCGTTCGCACGATTTCCTAATTCGTGGGAACGATTTCCTAATTCGTGGGAACGAATTGCTAACTCGCGCATCCGGGAACGCGTTAGTAACTCGTGGGAACGAGTTAGCAATTCGTGTGATAGAATTAGCAATTCGTGGGAACGAATAAGCAATTCGTGCGAACAAATTAGTAACTCGTGGGAACGAATTAGCAAATTACAAAACAAATCTACCCTGTCCCTTCCCGGAACGCGTTAGTAATTCGTCGGAACGAGTTGGTAATTCGTGGGAACGAATTAGCAATTCGTGGGAACGAATTAGCAATTCGTTCCGACGAATTAGCAATTCTTGCGAACAAATTAGCAATTCGTGCGTACGAATTAGTAATTCGTGGGAACGAATTAGCAAACAAATTCATAGCGTAAGCAGTGTACTAGCTATTGTTCAGATAATCTTTTCATGGGGCAGTTGCTTTGTTACAATAGTGTGCACAATGGTTTCTCCAGTGAAGTGGGCCTAGTGAGTGTGCAGTGATCACGTGACCGTATTCGTCTATATGAGGAACATGGCATCCTTACTGGAACAGCATTAATAAAGTGAAGCCTACAAAAATCGATCGGAATATTCTAATGACACTCGATGAAAACCAAGCAGTAGCCTTGGGCTCTTAATAACCCCACTTTCCTTGACACGTCAACCATTATGACAAAATCGTACCAGCTAAAACGAAAATTCATTAACGCCGTCCTAGCTTTAATCCCTCTCTTATGATTCTGCGATGGAAGTCTACTTCAGGGATCATTTTGTTCACCGTTGGATTGCTCGTGTTAATTTTCAGGTCAATGGTGGTAAACTGGATAAAACATTTACAAAACTTGTCCTCCAAACTGCAAAAATAAACGTTGGATCTCATTCATTCGCTGTATCTTCATCGCTGTGCCGTTGTGAACACTTGTTTCAGGCCGAGTAAAGAAATAAAACAGTGTCTCGTCCAGGCTCATTAAAAAAAGGAGGTGAGCGGTTTTTCTTTCATTTTCCTTTTTTATTCCCAAGATTGTGGATTAATTATTCCATGTTCTCGACTTTTTTGCTGAAACAAAATTGTGTCCAAAGGAGCTGTAACCCCTTCTACAAAGCTTGTTGGAAACAAATAAAAATACAATATATTGACAATTTGCAGGATGTATTGCAAACGTATGAAATTTGAGGAAAAAAGTTAAGGCGGGTGAACAAAAAAGAAACCGGGCGGGATAAGAAACTGGTTAATGTTTTTACTTGGTCTTAAAAACTGCCATAATTGCATTTTTTTACTGCTAATTCACGTAGATGAAGTGATTGCACTTCATCTAATAATTGAAATATATCAAGTTGCTGATGACGATATTAAGTTCTATTAGCATATTGAAGCCATTTTCGTAATTTCGTCGTGATGCCGGTAGGCAATAGCAAAGCAGCTACATGTCGATATTCAGTGCTATTACCATATTGAAGCGATTCTCATAAGTTCGTCTGTAATTCCGTTATAGGCTATAGCAAAGCAGCTACATGTAGATATTCAGTGCTATTACCATATTGAAGCGATTCTCATAATTTCGTCTGTGATTCCGGTATAGGCAATATCAAAGCAGCTACATGTAGAAATTCAGTGCTAGTACCATATTAAAACGATTCTCATAATTTCGTCTGTGATTCCAGTATAGGCAATAGCAAAGCAGCTACATGTAGATATTCAGTGCTATTACCATATTGAAGCGATTCTCATAATTTCGTCTGTGATTCCGGTATAGGCAATAGCAGAGCAGCTACATGTAGCCTAGGCCTAATTTACATCGTTGGAAAATCCAAAATAATAATCAGCTTATTTTGGTTTTCAACCAGCTGGCTTGTACATGCTGCATAATTCAGGAGACATTAAGGCGAATATATTTCATTTCATTTCATTTCATTTATTAATTTCACAGGTAAAAATTCAAGTACAGACAATCAGAACAGTAAAGAAAACAAAAACATGCACATACAGTTAGGAGAGAGAACAAGACAAAAAAAAGTAGCACCCCTGATGGATTTTAAAAAAGTAAACTAAATTACTATCGAGTTAATTTCCTGATGCCACAATTTAAGAAGAGACAATACAAAAGGACATTACAAATGGACATTATTAAAACATGGCTTACAGTATAAGAATATAGAACTATACAGCAGTTAAAACTTTAGAAGCACAAATGGGCATTAAAAAATACAAATTCGGTAAAAGAGAGATTCGAGTGAATTATAATGCAAAAGGCACTATAAAATTGAGAAAAAAAACAAGCAGCAAGGTATTTGCAGCAAGGTATTTGAATGGGCAAGGCAATATATACAACATTTTGCAAACATACAAAACATACCAAATGTTAATGAAATACCTCACTGGACTGTTAGTGAATGACAGTCTAAAGCATCCTGTTAAATAATGGCACTTGGTATGCTGTCAGTTTCAAGAAAAGTGGTTATTTTTGTATCAATTTCCAACGCTGGTCGGACGACCAGCGTTGGAAAAGAATGGCTTCTTTCAAATACTTCCCCCAATTTACCCTTATTTAGTTAGTCTGCATTTTGTATGCAATCGATTGCACACCTATGAACGGGTACAAGCCAGCTGGACTGGTTCCCTGACTTTACAATTCCTCGACGTCTATACATTGCTCTGTTTCATCTTAAGTGGGGTCAGGGAACCAGACTACATAAACATGATTGATTTCCTTGGTTTTTTTCAGCATCTACGTGCACAAAACCTGAAACAAGTCCGTGTAACAATGTTTGCTATAAAATTCGAACCCCCGAAATCCATCCATTTCTGATAGGCCTACATCAGAAGCAAATGTTGTATATTCCCTTTCATGTCAAACGAAATACCAGATCCTGCCTCGTGTTAGAATCAAATTCAGAAACCATGTCACGTCATACGCGTATCTAATACTAAACGCCCATTATGCCATTAGATATCTGTCAATGCAAGATACACCACTCCAAGTTCGTGTGGGCTCCAGGCTATGTGATCTGTATACCGCAGCGCTGTACGAAACGGTCCATATATCGTCAGTCGAGCGGAGCGCGCCCCGAACCGAGAACGGGCTTTCGACGCAACTCGTCTGAGTATCATCGTTGTGTACTCTCGTAAACTTGATATCGCGGTGTGGGAAAAAAAAAACTAGAAACCAGGCCGTACACCTTGGACAGGGACTCAATGTACCTGTCGTCCAAATTCTTGGGATGTAGATTTCTGGTGCAGTTTAACGGTTCACGTCTTTCAGGTACACTCATGATGGTCGACCACCAGTATAATTGTTCAGCCGACTAGAGGTGGCCGACTCCCAGCAGCAGGAGACAGGGTGAGTTATATAATGGACGTGTATTATACTCCACATACTGGTATGCACTCAAAATTGTGGCTGCGGTGAAAATGGAATGGACATGTGAAAGAAAATCACCATATGTGATTGGATTTGGTGAAGATTTTTTTTCCATCTATTTTTTTTTCTTGCTATGATATTTTGTAATCATTAGGCATATGTGAAAACCAATATATATGATTGAGCACAATAAAAAAGGCAAAGTATTGCAATTGAAGAAAACATAATATCCGAACCAATTTTAGGGCATTTGGAATAGCTGCATCGGGTATTGCTTATTTCAACCTGGTTCCATGGACTTTCCACGGTTCTGAGATTGGGAGGATTTAGCGGGAATTTCGCTGTTGCTATCGTGGCCGTAGAATCGTGTCACCATGTCCGTAACTCAGTTTCATCTGGCATGTTCTGTCACTTATTGTCTTATTCACTGTTCCCACCCCGGCCTTTCTCACCACCGTGATCCACATCACCACTTTTATCATCACCACCGGCACCGTCATTGCCATAACCGATGCCATACTCTCACTACATTATTATCATGGTTTTATCCTCCTTTCGTGAGAGCAACACCACCATGACCCCTAACGTCACAGTAATCAAATCACCATTATGAACATCATCATCATCATCATCATCATCCCCCCCATCATCCTCATCATCCCCATCATCATCCCCATCATCACCATCACCACCACCACGATCTAGTTCCAAAATCCAACTGCGATGGCGCACTTAAAGGGAAAATACAACATTTGCAAACATCAGAATATAAAACTAGCAAATTATTTTGAAATACCTTGCTGGACTGTTAGTGAATGACAGTCTAAATCATCCTGTAAAATCATGGCACTTGGAATACTGTCATTTTCAAGAAAAGTGGTATTTTCGTATCAATTTCCAACGCTGGTCGCGTCCGACCAGCGTTGGAAAAAAAACTGGCTTTTTTCAAATACTGGCCCCAATTGACCATATTTAGTTAGTCCGCATTTGTTTGCAATCGATTACACACCTATGAACGGGTACAAGCCAGCTAGACTGGTTCCCTGACCTTATAATTCCCCAACATCTATGAATTGCTCCGTTTCATCTTAAATGGAGTCAGGGAGCCAGACTACAGGAAAATGATTGTTTTTCTTAATTTCTATAGCATCTATGAACCCCAAATGTCCAAAAAAGTCAGTGTAACTATATTTGCTATATATTACCAACCCCCAACTCCATCCATTTCTGAAAATTACAGCAAAAGTAAATGATGTATATTGCCTTTAAAGATTATAGACCTTTCTACGCTTGGTAACCAAGGGTTACAAAACTGTGGAAGGTCCAACACTGCCAAAATGGAGAAGAGTTATTACAAATAACCAAAATATTATTTAATTGTTGGAATTACAACATTGTCAAGAAAGCTACAACACAATTCCTAAACATGCCTTTTTACTATGTATTGATGGCGTTATGAGGACTGTTTTGGGAAAAATATGTTGCCAACCACGGCTTCAATAAATGTGCTTGCGGCTGCCCATATAAAATGGCGCCGATGTTTACAAACAAAAGAAAGGTCTATAACATAAGCCAAGTCCGTTTTTAAAATGCACATGCGTTAAGTACAAAGGCCGATAGGTCATTCAGGATACTTATAAACAATCTCAAAGACAATTAAGCTGCATGGGTTCTTTGTAGTACGACTATTATAACTTGTGAGCGTCATAATTAACCAATTTTAAGAAGCGATATCTTTTGCACATGTACGTTGTTGTACGTCTTTATCCCGAATGACCTTTGACCTGAACTACCTCACTAGTGGAAAGAAAATGCCCAACTGGCTTATTTCACATCGGGATAGGCACTTCAATTAGCACATACTCGCAAAAACATATACCTAATTGAGTACAATATTCGAAGTGGAAATCCCTGCAATTTATTGTGCACATTTTGCAGTAGGATTAGTAAAGGGGTTTAATTAGTCCTATTATCATCATCCGAATCAGCTTCATCATTTATAAACAATATCAACTAACGCAAGAGATTCCTCTCAACTCTATACATTGAGAAAGCTACCTTTTCAGTCTCTTAGAAAACAAAACCACACCGATGAAATATTTAAGAAAACAATACCACACCGATGAAATATTTCTCAATATATCCCAGGTTTTTGGTTTGTATGTTAAGCAGCTTATGCGACATTCTGTCATATTATTTCAACTTATTCCACGACATGAGTCTTAATGACACTATTTCTGTAGGGAATGGTGTCTGAGCAAGGCCGACCTCATTCGTTCTTTCCTAACTTGTATTCATGTATGCATATGTAGAAGTGACGTAGCCGCATTTGCATTGTATTTGCGTGATTTACATATGTATTCATATGTAAAGCATTTCTTTGTTGATGACCTTTGTGCTTCCCGTGCGAGGACGGTTAACAGTCGTCTTCGTCAACATGAGAAGTTAGTTCTTAGGTCTATCCATTGCAATTCATTCGGGCTTATTATTGTATAATTGTTTACTCGTCCATCTTAATATTTCATTGCAAGCTTAATTATCACATGAAGATTCATTGTCTAGTGACTCAGCAGCACCTGAAAATAAATTGTATATTTTCTCGGCCTTTTTGGAAGACGTCTTTCAATTACTGAGCACATCAATACATTTCTTTTCACCTATATTGTGCAACTAGCATATGGCTTCGCCGTGACTGCCATGTTCATTGTGGGATAGGGAACTTTCCCGAGAAACCCCAGTGAGTATATGTTGATGTTATATCATGCGCACATTATGACAGAAAGGGAAGTATGTTTATGTTGAAGTTTCTAACGTGTTTGTGATACATGCTGCTCAGTCAGTGCGTAGTATACTCAGTCATTGCGGTCAGTGCATAATGAATGTATTGTGTACAGTCTAGTTAGCTGTTGTAAAAAAAAAATCATTGTTATATTCCAGGTAATGGGTTTTTTTTCCTATGGCTGAGTCTTGGCGTCCTTTGTTCATTGGTTAAGATTTAATTAAAGCTCCGATCATGAATCGCCATTAAAAACCAGCATGGCCAGTGGGTTGTTTCTGCTCATCCGTCCATATTAATCCGGTACTTGCCCCTTTTTTCAGACGAGGGCTGGATTTCCTTTTGCCGTCCAACTAAATTTCACGTATGGGTTTCTACTACGTGTAAAACAAAACACATGTCCTACTTTGGATTCTAAGTAACTTTGTTGCTTGATAATGGAATTAAACCAAAATGTACATCCTGTAAACAAGGCATGACACAGTTTATATGGAGCGAGTTTTATAAGCTTTATGCACGAGGGTCAGTTTCAAAACGCCATATGAACACAACACTCACTTTCAGAATGTCGATACAGCGCTGGAGACGGTGGTGGAAGGCGCGTGCTGCGACCAAAAGCTTTTGAAGGAATGCTGGATCACCCCTTATGTCATTGCACACCTCCTCGATCGTGTGTTGGGCCAGACCATCGAGGAGGTGTGCAATGACATCGGGGTTCGATCCTGCATTCCTTCAGAAGCTTTCGGCCGCTGCACGCGCCTTCCGCCACCGTCTCCAGGCTCCAGCGCTGTATCGACAATATTGGATTACGCCAAGTCGAAAGTGGCAGATTCTGAAAAGGAGTATTTTTTTTCTAATGGCGTTTATCTGACCCTCTTGCACAAAGCTGATGATACAATTTGTCATGCCTTGTTTACATGATCTGAAATTTGTGTTTAATTCTAATGGTAAACAACAGAGTTATTTAGGATCAGAAATAGGGCATTATTTTTTGACACGCAGTACATGCTGTACGAAGTGTATCAGTTGCTCTTTAGTTTGACATTCGGATTTACATATCTTTTCACTTCCTTCTACTTCTTGTTTAGGCTTTCTCTACCTCCGCCATGGGGGACGGTATAACCCCAGACGTCGCCAGGGAGAGGTACTTCGTCGCGGCCATAAAAGGCGACGTTAAGGGCATGAAAGACAGCCTGGAAAAGAGGCTACAGCACAATCTGGATATCGACTGCACCGACGCTAGCGGGCGCACTGCTCTTCACGTAGCCATCGAAAACGGCAACCTGGGTGAGTGAGTGTTTACAGATGCTGCTGCATATACTTGGCTCATTGGCTGAACTGGACATTTTGGTTAAATAACCTCAACATAATTTAAATTTAAATGAAAGGAACTGACATTGAGGTGTTTTTTGGTGTGAATTTTTTAAAAGCAGGAGTGGGCTTAAAACACATCTGTGGTGTGCAACAAACTTTGACAGTTTTGACTGTTTTGTTTGAACACAGTAAGGCCTAATAACAAAAATATTTTTTTTTAATTTGAGTGTGTACACCATTTAATAAATTTTACCTTATAAATGTTTTTTTTTCCGAGCCTGAAAAATTATCTACCCCCCCCCCAAAAACCCAGCATACACAACAAATAGACCGAGACCTATACTTGGTTCTAATGCTTGGATTTACGCATGCGTTTCAAAAAGCGAGTGCAGCCCCTTGCCGTCCGTATAGCTAAGTAGGCCTTATAATAATTGAGACGCGTATGAAAGGCCCAATGTTCCATGAAGAGCTTCCTCGCAAAATCTCGAGTTGTCCCGTTACAGGTGTGATTTACCCTCTGTTGGAGCATGGAGTCCAGGTCAAAGATGCAGTACTACGAGCCGTGGAGCATGACTTCGCTGAGGCGGTGCGACTCCTATGTGCCCAAGCCCACAAACTAAAGGTATACCTAGGGTTCGGGACATGAACAACGATTTTTTGTGCCCAACCTTTTGTTTTGTAACTCCAGACTATAATGCACATGTGTCACTCGGGCATAAGCAACGATTCTCGGACTTTACTTACCTTCACTTTGCATGCGCAACGTACGTCACGATTACATCAGCAGTCAAGTCAATAGTCTTAAACTTACCGTCGGATGCACACTCATTGTGTCTGCTCAAACTTAACTTGCTGAAGTTCTGCCACCAAGCGTTCGTTTGGAAGAAATCCATTGCCAACAACAATAATTCAACCGCTGCCATTAACATCGCATAGTAAAGTGAGTAAAGTCTGTCATGAGCCAATGTGGCACATCAGGCCGGCGTTTATCTCTCGTTTCAGTAGCATGGAACGACTGAGAATATTTATATTCCCCCTGGACGGGATGCTAGTCCATCGCAGGTTACTCCCCATCTAATGCCGAAACCAGGTATAGTACTAAGTAGAGAGAGGCAAGTGGGGGTGATGTGGCTTGCCCAAGGACACAACATAATTATGACCAGCAGTTGGATTCGAACTCCTGACCCTCTGGTCATGAGTCACGAACCCTAACCACTAGGCCACACTCCCCACCGTTAACATCGCATAACTGGGTCAACAATAAAGTAATTAAGGATTCAGTGTACGACGTCATCCCGATCGCCGTCATTTTGCTCGAGGCACTTCCTTAGTCAAGGATCTCTCTGGTAGCATGGAGGATGCTTGCCCGAAAGCAGGACCATTAAGTGTGCACTTGAACAAAACAAGCCTAGCCGTGAAGGGCCAAGACACAGGTAGGGTCAATCGTTCAAACTACGCATATGTGCACATCAAGAATTGACAATGTTCACTTCGGCCTTTGACCTCATAACATTTGAGCTCAAATCTTCTCGGGCAAGAGAGGCCCGATCTTTGTTAACTTAAGTAATCAAAGCCAGGATGTTTCCCCCAACTTCGTCTCTAACCTCGATAGATTTAACCATAATACTGATGACCTAGAAATAAATATCTTCGATTCTCGACGTGAACACTATTGTTACTTCTCTCGGTCTGTTCATAGGATGCTACCGAGAGGCAGCATATCATCGACTGCCACTGCGCCAACGATGATTTCCATCCGGACATCACACCCATTATCCTAGCTGCTCAGAGGAAGAACTTCCCGATGGTCAAGGTGCGTGAACACGTACTCTCAGTGCCATTTGCCGATATTTTGGAACTGTAAATTTGTAAAGCTGTAAAAGTAAATTTGCTATCATAAAGTAACATTGATAATAATTATAATGCAATGTGGGTTTTGTCTGGCCCTTCAAGCCCGGCAGGGTTCTCCGGTGTTTGTTTGTTTGTTGGGGTGTTTGTTTGTTGTTGTTGTTTTTTTTTGTTTTACAAAGCAATATTCTCTGCTTAGCAGCTTCAATAAAATAGATTGAAAAGGGTCAATTAATGAAACAAAAACCCTGCAGTAAGATTTTACCAGAAAACCGTCAAGCCTAACCGGTAATTTAAGGGCGGCTGAGAGTGACTGAGCATCCTGGAGAGTGACTGAAAAGTGACTGAATAATTACACTATTGGTTCAAGAATAATGGCAGAAATTAAAATCAACGGTGAATAAGAGTCCAGCTGAATGCTACCTCGATCATTTCCGTCATGAAGAGGAAAATAAATGTGATTTGATTTGATTTGATTTGATTTGATCGGCAGGTGCCAGGTATGTTCTGTTAAAATTTAATTTCCAGTCGATTTTCAGGAATTTGAGAAACCAGTCGTTACTTTGAGTGGTGAACCTAATAAAATTAATATTATCATTAATCTCTCAAATACAGCTGAGATGTATGACTCGTAACTCGGACTCCGACTCGATTCATGTTTCTGGTGACTCGGACTTGGACTGGAGACACAATTAACAATATCTCGGACTCGACCCAAATGACTCAGGACTCGGACTCGAAACTGCAATCTAAAAAGTCCCGGGTCAGATCTGACCCGGGATCCGGTCATATTTGACATGATACAATTCCGGTTCATATTTGACACATTTCTGAGTCAAAATGACACTTGTTTGTATCATTTTGTGGATCATTTTTGCACCCTTAAAGCGTCATTTTGACACCGAAAGTGTCATTTTGACACCAAAAGTGTCATTTTGACCCAGAAAGTGTAATTTTGACCCGGAAGGTGTCATATTGACACGGAAAATGTGAACCAGATTCCGGGTCCATTCTTTTCCGGGTCAAAATGAAACTTTCGGGTCAAAATGACACTTTCCTGGTCAGAAGGACACTTCTCTGTCTCATGCTCCGGGTCATTTTGACCCAGAAAATGTCATTTTGACCAGGAAGGTGTCGGTGTGACCCCAAGAAAGTATCCTGTCAAATATGATCCGGATTTCGGGTCAAATCTGACCCGTGACCTTTTTTAGTGTGTGAAGACTCAATCACAATCAGAAATTCCACTATAACCCATCTGCTCGACCACAGATCCTTCTGGAGAACGACTTACGCATCCCGCAGGTCCACGCGGCCGACTTCGAGACGGCCGCCAAGGACAGCTTCCAGCGCTCGGTCGGCACCATGGAGATCTACAAGGGTCTAGCCAGCGAGGCGTACGTGGCTATGGCCAGCAAAGATCCGGTCAACCGGGCCTTCACGCTGTGCGATGAGCTGCGACGGCTGGGGGAGATCGAGATCGAGTTCAAGATGGGCTACAACGCGCTGGAGCGGGACATGGAGACCTTCGCCACCGAGTTCATCTCGCAAGCCAGGTCAACTGAGGAGGTATGGTCCACGACCAAAGCAATACAGAGGGCATACGCCTCATGAAACATCAGAATAAACCCTTTGCATCTGACGGCAAATCATGGAAAGTCTTGTTCATCTGATTATACATAACCTAGCCCTAACCACCTATAGGGTGTGTGAGCAATCACATTATAATTGGATCCAGGACTGTTTATATAGGGTTAGCTGAAGATTTGTTGTTCTTTCACGGTTGCTGCATTTACAGAAAATAACGATCATTTGCTTTCAAGTGCGTTCGTTTCCTATAATAACACCACACAAAAGTCAATGAAGATTGCTCAAAACCTAACCTGCTGATTGTTCAGCTCAGTGTATAATACTTAATGAGAACACTTTAAAAAATCTTGAACAAAAACACCTTCTGATCACAACACTCGATTTCGCCAATAGGCCTGAGACATAATGACGTCACGCTCTGTTTACATGTGCGCTTTCCTATGTGGTAGACGGTCTCTACTTCGTCTGGCGTCCTGACTTCGCTCCAATAGGACAGCTCATATGTAAACAAAGCCATTACGTCATTAGGACTCAGGTCTATAGAAACTATTATTTCCATCGACATGCATATTATTGGCGAGCAAATGAAACACATTAAAAACAAAACAAATAAATGAGGATCACCAACGACAGAAACTATACCAGAAGAAAGAACAAACGCGCAGAAAAACAAACGAACAGTGCAAAACAGATCTTCTGTAAAAAATAAATAAATAAATAAATAAATAAATCAATAAATACATAAAATAGGGATTCGGTAAAATTCGAAATATGAAATCAGAGCACGTGGACACTGCACTGATCAAACGCAGGTGGTGTACCAACACCACGTAGTGTGTATTGTAGACGACTGGTAAGATACAGATTACGCTTATGGATTGCGTTTATTCAACACTGCAGTTATTGTATATAGTGTAGTACCTACATCACCTTAGACTGCAGGCTCATCATCAATGCGCACTGGGTATGTACTAGGTTGAACTTCACGCAAGGCCACCGCGTTTGTCAAATCTTCACCGATAACTATCCCTGATATACCACAGTAAATATGCATCCCGGTCGGTTTAGAATACGGCGCAACTAGTCATAACTTATATCGTATAAAAAGTGTGTGCTGTCAAAATAAAGAGTATCTCTTAAGGTATATCGATATATAACCGCATAGCGTTAATTTACAAAGTTTTTGAAGTGTAAGCAAAGTGTCATTAAGTCCTTTATTGCAGCTCTATGGTGCCTAGATTAATAATATGTGTTTCATTTTAAATACATGTAAAATGTCAATCCTGTTGCACATCATGACAGCATGGCCCACCCAAATAAATACCACTTAGTGTTAATTAAACACCAGGGTTTTTGTAAATACTATCAAGCAATCCTCCTGTGATAGATAATGTTAGTGGTGATCCACCCAGATTAATGCCACATGGTGTTTATTAAACACCACAGTTGTTGAAAGTGTAAAAACTATCAATATATCCTCCTGTGATAGATAATGGTAGTGGCGATTTGCCAGATTAGTACCACATGGTGTTGATAATTATAACACCACCGTTTTGGCAGTGTAAACGAAGTGGCAACCAATCCTTTTTTGCGTATCATGCCAGTGTTGACTCACCAAGATCAATATTGCTTTTTGTATTGACCGTTTTTTGCATTACTAACAAAGTGCCAGTCAGTCCTCTAACAGATCATGAAAATACTGACCCGCATGGTGTTTATTTGACACCGTAGTTTTTCCCCAGTGTTAATAACGTGTCAATCGCCCCTCCTGCGACAGATCATGACAGTGCTGACCCATCCGGATCAGGACAACGTGTTACTGGGAGAGAACACCTCACACACACCGCTACCCAAAATAACGAGAGCCCTCGACCTTGGGTTGCAAAAGGTATAGCCGTTACACTGCCAAAACTGCAGTGTTAAATTTACCATTGGTATCTATATAGGACCATCTGGAGTTAAATTTTACTGTTGTTGTCCTATACAGATACCAAATGGTGTTAAATTAACACTACAATTTTGCAGTGTAGTTACACCCAGTAGCATCCTTGTTCAGAGGCCACTTGCCGCTATTAGACCTACGCACATTCGTCAAGGCTGGTTTTTACATGGTATTATTTTCGAAATTGTGTTCCCTGTTGAAAACAAATCCTCTGAAGCCCTTAGTCACGATGTTAGAAAATATAATCGATTTTACTTCTTGCGATCGAACACAGCATATAACAGTGATGTAGTGCCTTTATGCTCAACCTCGACCTTAAGGCCGCCTTAAGGCTGGATTCTAGGGCCTTGGCCTTGGCCTTAAGGCTTGAGGGAAAAGCCTTGGCCTTGGCCTTGAATGACACAGCATTTGATCCAACACTGGTATATAACAGAAAATGTATTTCTTATGCTTTATTTTGTTCAGAAAATAAAACCAAACTATTCATACAAGTCGCCACTGAATCCCATTTGCGCTTCCTTCACTTCACGCAAACCTGGAAGCTTGTAACGCTACGAAGAATCACGTATACTAGTCTTATCACGTGGTATACTAACTATTCTTGATATGTTTTATGCATGTTCTGGAAATGTTCTCCATTGGGGTCAGTGACTTGTTACTGATAGGTGCAACATTTCTACTCGGTGTAACGTCTCCGGAATATAGGTACATTGTATTAATATCAGTCGAAGAAAATGGATAAAGTTACACTGCAAAAATTGTGTTTAGCAATTAATCTCTTTTCCTAAACATTTTCTTGCTTGTTCAGTTTGTAAACATGTTTAAATACTAAACATGTTAAGAGTAAGGGTGGATAATGTTTAGCAATTGAGCATTGATGTGTTTAGGAATTGAACATTACAGTGTTTAGCTTCTCAACATGTTTACAAAGTGGTAGCAAAATTGTATTTACACAGTTTTAGAGTGTACATTTGCAAATTACATCAAAAAGCCTTCCACACACGTATTAAGTTATTCATATCTTTAGCTCATTCATTTCTTTTCAAACTGTAGTTCATCTCCCACCCGAACTGCCAGCAGGTCATAATCACCCAGTTCTACCGGCGGCTTCTCTTCATCCGCGACAAGAAGGCCTTCTACCGGTTCCTCGTGTTCGCCTTGTTGTTTCTTCTCTACCCGGTGCTGGCCGTTGTCCACGTCTACTCGTCTCGCAAGAAGTTGAAAACCTTCGTTCGCATCCCGTACGAATAAACCTTTATACATTCGCTCCTTCCCCTTGTCGCCATATTCATATTCATTCATATTCATTTATATTCATGTCATTCATATTCATATTTATATTTATTTCCACTTAATCAATTTGAATAAAAAAAGGATTTGAAAATAATTTAAATAACCTTATGAGATTAAGCGGTAAGCTTCTCCAAAAAGCAAGCTTATCAAGTGGAGACGCCCATCATGTGTAGAAATGAAATATATCACGGTCAGTACTAATTAAATTAAGTCCTTTAACCTACACATGAAGTGAACTTTAAGTTGCACATGCAGATGGGACCAACACAAACAAGACAAGACAAAAACAAATCAAGTAAAATATAAGGAGTTGAACCTACACGGGACAACATAGATTCTGTCTAACAGAATCTATACACACAGCAAATAAGAATAGTAAATATTAAGCACTACAGTATTTTTCTAATAGCAGACACTTGAGCTTTTGCTTAAAAAAATCGACTTATATTGAAACAAAGTGTAGGCGAAACCTTTTGTTTCTAAACAAAGACTTTTGTATCGGTACTTAGTGGACCTTTTAATAAACTAATACATTCACAATTATGCTGAATCACCCACGGTGAATCCAGGCGCGATTCAGCAACGTGATTCGGCCTGAAATTTGGTGGACGGGTGCCCCGAAGTATACACCTTTGTTATTTTCAACCGGTGGGGAAAGGAGCCTTGCTGATTTCTTTCGCCCTTGTGCGCACGGGACAGAAGCAATTTTCAATGTGTTTTGTTTTTATTCTGTGCCCTAAAAACATTTTGACCAGAACGTATTGTCTATGACGATTTTAGGGGCTTTTCTAAATAAGAAAAAAAGCGACGAATCCTGAAGAAATTGAAAGAAAAATACCGGACTATTTTGACCCTTGTACAGGTTCAACGGGCCGCTTTCGCTTCTTGCCACAAGGCCCATTTATGCGCATGCATGCCTAATTATGAATGTATTAGTAAAAATATTTGTCGGTCGCTGAACTTGGATGTTACAGCAGAATTCATTGCAGTATAGTGCTATTTTGCCAGTGAATTGTGTAGTCTTTCAAGCCAGCCGTTCAGAAGAATCCATGCAAGGCAAACTCAGCTGATCAACGCGAGCGTTTTCACAAGGGTTCAACTTCATAGAGCTACTTAGCACGCATGTAAATTGTTTAGCAAAATGGCTACCATCCAAAATGCCATATACAGTGTGTACTGATGTGACTGGTGCGCAGCTGATAAGGCTTAACATATACTCTTTTTTTATCTTGCAATATGTCTTGCCTAGCAGCTCCATTAGCTGCCGAGGTCGATTCAACATTCGGTAAAAATGCACTTCAAGAACGTTCCCGCTCTTTTTTTACAGCATTGTCATGTTCATCATGTATTTGGCCTCTGACCTGACCTTTGTGACCTTGCTGACCTTGGAGGCCACCAGTGACGGAGGGGAGGCCCACAATCCTAGCATCAGTCGGCCCTACAGTGTCGTCGGTATGGTCTGGATCATAGGTACATTATTTTTATCCTATTGACCGTCAGAGCGTGTATTTCAGATTTACATTCAAAGCTATCGCCAGCCCATCACAAGTCCATCACATCACAGGTTCATCACATGTCAATCACATGTTCATCACATGTCAATCACAGGTTTATCACGTGTCAATCAAAGGTTTAAATCACATGCCGGATCCCAAGTGAGAGGGGCCGAACAATAACAAAGAAATTAAATGCCTGTGTTTATACATTATATTGTCACTTGATTTGTGTTTACATGACTTGTTATGGATTTTTGATTGACTTTTCCATACTTGGCTACAACTCTGGAGCATTATCGTGGGTTCTTCTTAGAACCACACCTGTCTTTTGAAGTAGTAACTTCATATAGTTTATCCGCAAACTTCTCCCAACTCACTTCGTCCTTTGATCTCCGCCATTTCAGTTAGTTTGCCATCTCAGATTGACAAAGTTCCCGTTCTGTATAGTTAACTGATCTTAGTTGTCTCGATTCTTAATTATATTGTCTCTTTTGCTTACTGCAAATTGTGCATGGTGTTCCAAATTCTGTCAAGTTCAAGGATTGTGCCACTCTTCACATTGTTGGGTTCTGGAAGATTTCTAGTAAAATGGACAGAGGCTTAAGATGATGATTAAAATAGATGAACAATGCAACCGATGTTGCTAGAAAATTGTCAAGATAAGTCTCGACGTTAACTTTGGCGTGCAGGTATGATGTGGCGAGAGATCGAATGCATCGCAGCCAGGGGGTTAAGAAAGGTCATGACCCAGTGGGAACACATCCGGGACACCCTGATCATCCTTCTGTTCCTTCTGGGCGTGTCGCTGGAAGTCTTCTCTTATTCCGTGAGTGGAGCTAATTTGCTTTTCATGTGTGTTTCCAATCTGTCTGCATCGCAGTTAGTAGAGTTCCATTGCTTATGTTTAAACTAATTCCATTTAAGAAGTTTCTGGTGGCGACCCTTTCCCTATTGAGAAGCCGATAATATTTTTAAGTTAGAAAAGCCTCTTGCCCTTGATGGTTCATCAGGCTGGTGTTTTTTCTTCGGCGGGATTCCATCACATAAGGCGACTAGGCACATGTGGGTATATACAGGGTGAGTAAAAAAAAAGTAACCCAAATGTCGGGACTATTCTTTTATTGAAGTTCTGCATGTAGCACTTTCAAAATCCGGTACATGAAAGCCCTATTCATAAGCTTCTTTTAGTACATGTATAAGAATCATTCAAATCACTTACGTACTTTTCAAGTTACGGAATTTTAAACACAACCACCGTTTTAAGGTTCTGTCCACAGATCACCAAAAGGTGTGTTCTTTCAGCAAAACGAAAACAATTCACACACATCCCTATGTGATTTGTTTTCGTTTGCTGAAAGAACACTGAACCTTTTTTGCCATCCGTGGACAGAACCTTAAAACGGTGGTTGTGTTTAAAATTACGTAACTTGAAAAGTACATAAGTGATTTGAATGATTCTTGTACTAAAAGAAAGCTTATGAATTGGGTTTTCATATACTAAATTTTGATAATGCTACATGCAGAACTTGCTTAAAACAATGGTCCCAACATTTGGGTTTCAGTTTTTTTTACTCACCCTGTATTCCCCCTGAATTGGATGCCAGTCTATAGTATGTAATGTCCATTCCCGTTTAAGGTGGACAGAGGTAAGTGAGGGTAAACGTGTTTTGTTTTTTTACGCAACCCAATCCAACCAGCTACGGTTAACTATAAGAAACATCGCTGGTAGGTAATCAAAAATCACATGAAAAGAACGACAGGCTACTAGTAGTACGCACACTAGCAGCATTATTATGACTTTCAAGAAAAAAGCTTAGGGACGTGGTTGGGCTAATCTGAACTTTATGCCGGGGAAAAGGGACAATCAGAAAACGGTGCACAGCCTCCATTGAACACTGAGATGAGCTCCTCCTCTGAAGGCTGCCCGATGACATCAGGGGGAAGCCTGTTCCAGAGTTTACAGCGACATGGTAGAAAACTCCTGTCGTTATGCAGCAGGTCCTGGGCTCTTCTAACGCCAGGAGGGAGTGCAGGCTGCAGGGAGAAGGGATGCACAGCTGTAGAGGAACGAAGTGCTTGCCGACGGCTGTTGGGAATGAAAGCACGTGCAGTTGTCTTGTGACGGGTTTATATTATTTTTTTATATTTTTTTTTTACTGTAGATGGAAGATCCGGCATCTCTTAATGGAGTACAGGCGGCATCTCTAAATGGAGTACAGGCAACGTCCGACTATACCCGAGTCAGGCGGTCAGTCGAAGCGCCTCCAACGGCCGTAGCAAGAAACTTTACGGACGGCAAATTTGCCGACATCGAGGACTACGTGGTGGGTGAGCTGGAACAGTCGCACCCGGACATGAACGAGACGTCCAAGGCGCACATCCGATTGGTGGTCGGTCGCGTGCTGAACTACACGGCCCGGCGCAGGACTGGCGGAAAGGGGTCGTTCAAAGAGGACGAGGTTGACAGGGGCCCCACCGCCCCCATCGATGGAAAGCAACGCCAGTTTGTCAGCCGAGGCTGGAACCACCCGCAGATAATGGCTCGCGCCTTGCTGGCCCTGGCAACGGCCTTCACTGTGCTGCGCATGCTCCCCTACGTCGTCATCAGCGATCTGATTGGACCGCTGCAGATCTCCCTGGTTAGCATGACAATAAGGACGTCCCACTTCTTCATCGTGGTGGGGACGGTCCTGGCGTCCTTTGCCGTTGGACTGACGCTGGTGTACTCGTATTTCAACCGCGTAGAGTACGTCAGTTGTCTGAAAACGACGGAGAATCCCGACAACTGTAAGGTCGGAAGTTTTGCAAGGTATGAAAAATTACCAAGGTATAAACTCAGTTTAATACTTAGGCCTACTTTATGTAAAAATGACAGTACTCAAAATATGCGGTTTCCCCCGCGAAAACTCAGAGGCCATGAAGTTAGTATAAACAGAAGTATGATTACTGTATTTGGCTTTGCGGAAACTAGCTCGCGGCCAAAATGCCCATCGATCGATATAGCTTAATGGTACTCGGCTGACATTGCTTGGCACATTTTATTGTATCAGTTCAGCACACTCCTTGAAAATGGTTGCCAGACTTGACTTTAAAACAGTCTAGCTTGACCCCGCAACTACCCGGCAATGTCTGCGGCTGTAGCCGTCGGTTGCAGTTTCATTGCCTTCACAACTCAATATGTTAGTATAGTTTGTAAGAAAGCACCTCGATTAATAAATCTGGCCCAGAAATGTATTTCAAAGGACATTTCAGGATCAGTTTCACACGAAAGATAACCGTTCATATCATTCTTTGCAGCATATTTCAGACCTTGATCACCCTGTATTGGTCCGTCTTCGGATTGATGCCCATGTCCGATTTGCATCTCCCGGAGAACGCGGTCGTCATGGAGACCGCTGGTTCCCTGCTCTACGCGTCTTTCTACGTACTGTTGATCATCGTGCTGCTCAACGCGCTCATCGCTGTCTGGAGCAACGTCTACAACGAAATTGAGGTAATGCGGACGCGATAGGAATGGTTATCTTATGTCAAGCGGCCATCTTGGATGGTGTTCTACATTATAGTAATGCCGTAAATGAAGTCACCTTAACCATTGGGCCAACCCTTCTTTTTATGATTGGGCTCTTTTTGTAATCATGACATTCGATTTGTTTGTTCGGACAATGAAAATGTTGGCAAATTTCCATTTTCAGGAAAACGCCGATCAACAGTGGAAGTTCTCCTGCACGGCAATGTGGATGGCGTACATGCAGGAGGATCTTCGCGTACCTCCTCCCTTCAACCTCCTGCCGACCAAGAGCGGCTTGCGGCGCCTCGTCTCTCTCTTCTCCAAGCGGGGCCGCTGGGCAGAGATCACCGTGGATGACATCAACAGGATTTACGACGACAAGTGGCTGCGCACGGAGGGCGTGCGTCTTTTCGTAAGTTTCTCGGAACTTTCTTTTTTACATTGGATAGGTGAACGTTATCAGCATTTTGCTGAATGGGTGCCGTTATATAGACAAATTACATTTCAAATAAGCATTGAGAGGGGGGACCTCTGTTAAGTTCTTTTAAAGAGATGATTAAGTTATACTAAATACTAAAATCTATCTCAAAAATCTACTGAGCACCTCTCGTTCAAATAACGACTAATCAGTACATAAATTCATTAGCAATCCAGCCATACTCTTTATTTTGTCCAAAAACAATGATAATGTAAACGAATTTATGCAATTTATGACAAATGATACCGAAAACAGTTGCACTTTTGTACACGTGCAGCAGGTGTGGTTCACACTCGCCTTTCACGTTTACAAAAGTGCAATTTTTTCCTTACCATGTGTCATAAATTGTATCATTCTGTACACATTATTACTGTGTTGGCCCAAACAAAGAGTATGGCTGGATTGCTAAGGAATTTCTGTACTGATTAGTCGTATTTTGAGCAAGATGTGCCCAATAGTTTTTGAATTAGACCAAAAAGGTATCGGAAGGGGGACTATCTATTTTGGTTGAGTGTCTCAACCCGTTACTTTTGTTGAGTGCTTTGCGCCCTGCAGAAAAATCAAAGAGACACCCATATACTGGCTTTCCTGAGAGCCATAAATTTTATTTTATTCTCTCTTACTAAACAGATTGATGGAAATAAGAGGATGAATAAACAACTAGAGGAGCAAGTCAACTACAGCGTAAGTTCAATATAGCCCTATACGCTTATACCCCTTTCCACAACCGGCGTTGCACCATAAAATCATCCCACAGCATGCTATTATAACCCGTGAGGTTATATAGACAAAGTAAGACAGTAAGAGACGAAGTGGTACTTGGGATGATGTGGTTTATTCGGTTGGCTGTGACGCTCTCTGTCTGATTCCTAGATTCTACTGGGTTTTTATACAGTAAATGAACATTCCAATCTTACAGCTATCTTACAGGTTTCTTGCCTTATTAGGAATCGTTTACTAACTATTGAATATTAATAATACAGAATTGAAGGTGTTTGGTTAACTTGTATATGGGGCAGGGCTAGGCAAATTAATAGAACAATCGGATTTCCTTATAAGTCTGTGGGCTGAATCACTGTGGCCTTCCGGTGCAGCCCAGCATCCGACCACGCGGACCTTGTGGCTAAACTGGCCATTCCTTAGATGTGTCTCATTACCAGGAAAGTGGTCCTGTTCCTTGAAGGTCAACGTATACAACTTAAACAGTAAATATAAAACATGGTATTTTATCATGGTGATACTATCCATTATGTTTCGTGGTCCATGATGATTAAAGTGCATTCCTCCTTAATATCGTGCAAACTGCCTACAGTTATGGTGACTTGAACTCCATCCCTGATGCTACCTTGTTCCATTATTTCAGCGGGTGATTGCACGGCTGCTGGAGCGCTATGTGACCGAGAAGACGGCCGGAGCTTGCAGTACGACAGCCGACATCACGAAGATTGACCTCCGAAACCTCAAGAATGACCTGATCGCTCTGAGGTAAAGTTAAAGAGTAAAACAAACCCTTGTGGATTATGTTCGGTTGGAGAGGTTCAAAAAGGAACGTTTACCGCAGTGATCTCCGAGGATATATTGTTCCCGCTTTAATATACCAAAAGCTTTGGCGTTCCCTCTGTTGTCTCGACCCAATACCCGCCGTCTGCAGTGTAAAAAACAAAACAAAACAAAAACAGGATTTATTATATCAAATTTAGGGTTTGCCCTTCACCGACGTATAAACACTGTATACTCAGTGTGTTACCTCCCGAGTGAAAGTTGGAAAAAAACAATGACCTCCTGCTTTCTGGTGCAGATGTTTTACCACCCGACAACCGAGCTAACGGGATCGGTCGGCTGGTTCGAAGCTAATGTACATAGCAGCGGGTACCGCATTAACTATTCATGAGATGGGATTTTTGCCGATGGAATTTTTGCCGATTTTAACCGATCCCAATAGCTCGGTGGTCGAGTGGTCAGACATCTGCACTAGAAAGCAGGAGGTCGTTGGTTCGAGTCCCACCCGAGTGATTGTTTCCAACCTTCACTCGGGAGGTAACACACTGAGTATACAGTGTTTATACGTCGGTGAAGGGCAAAACCTAAATTTGATATACATCACCCCGACGCAAAACGCCCATCTTATGAATATGTTTCATAATGTTGAAATCCAAAACATATAAAAGCCTACGTCTTCAGGTTATGTCAATATGACATTATTTATGAAAATGCCCACTTCATAGTTTCGTGCTGCATTGTGCAACATCTGTCCCATCAATCTTTTCCTCAAACCATGAAACGTGTGCATTTGTTTGTTGTTTGTTTGTTTGTTTGGGTGGGTGGGTTTTTTTACTGCTGAATTGCTGTTGTTTTATTCCAGGTATGATACTTTCCTGAAACTTTGCCACGTGCACGATGAACTGGTAGCCGCCTCCATGGAGTGTTTCCACATCAAGGGCCAGTCCGGCAACGTGCCGATGATCTTAGACAGAGCCGAGGACATAAGCTCCAACCTCTTCCACAACCTGCACCACACCTTGGACTTCCAGACCTCCCTGGCCGACACCGTGTCCAAGCTGCCGCCGCCGCCGCCCACGCCGCCGCCCTCCCCGCCGGTTCCACCGGGGCGCTTGCGCTCGCCGTCCCCGGAGCCTGAGCCACCCGAGGCGGCGCGGAATCCGCGCGCGCCCGAGCCGCGGAAAGGCGTGCGGAAGATCGTGGTAAGGTTGGTCAAGCAGTTTGAGACGGGTCAGATCGGGCCCAAGGCGAGCTTGACCCGGCGGTCCTCCATGTCATCGGACGGATACACCTTTTACTGAATCAAGATTTTTCTCTCACTATTTGGGCTTTTGGACTCTATTTTGTAGGGATGACTATTATTTAATGCTAGGGTCACACATTCCCGAATTATCGCCACGAATACCCCGATCTATCCCGAATACAATTTTTTGATGGCATCGGGAGGAATTTTCCCCGATTCGCTGTCAGTAAGAAAAACTTAAAAATAAAACAATAATAATCAAGAACTATACAAATTGGAAACCTAATCAGACCGGACATGTCAAAAGTTGTTGAGCACTTTCCGATCGTTAACGATCTTTCACCGAATAAACAGAATCATCCGGAAGCAGCCAAGAACCATTTCCCGATTACTACTCAAGAATTGCTATTCGCGGCGATTCGGCTTAAAAATCGGGAATGTGTGAACCTGGCATAACAAGCGATTTCCGTCACACATTCTGTAAAGAAAATTATCGCTTTTTACTCTCAACCTTTCATATTGTCAAACTAGAACGACTAGAGGATTTAGAGAGAAAATTCCCTCAAATTTTAGCTTGAAATAATCTGATAAAAGAACCAATCAAATATAAACTCGAGTGAAAACTCTTTTCTTTTTTTATAAAACGTCTGGTGTAGTTTCAGTCAATGAATTTTCACTCTTTTGAAATATACAGAGAAAATATTATTCTACAAGATTGTCCTCACGGTATTTGCATGTTTTGCGGTCCTCTTAGCTTTGCACTATAGTATAGCATACTATGCAAAACAATTCAGCATAACGCCTTACTATTTCTTTTCATACTAGCTCGTTGAACAGGTTTTTGAGAGTTATGGTAATCTATTGTACAGTAAAGACCTAAACCGTATGGTACTATGTATCGGGCATTCGTCTTGTTTAGCAGTTTTCACTGTTCAGGTTCAGCCTTGTTTATTTCCACAGTATCGAAACAATACTTACAAAAGCAATCAGAGAAAATCAAATCAATAGATGCAAAATCATTGTGATATAATTGTGATGATAGAGGGATCCGTTTGAGAAGCCAAGCTTGGAGTCAATTATGCGCGTGCATTGAGACAGGAGTAAAATAATCGAACCATTGAGGCTGGGGCTGAGTCACCAATGAACAACATAATCAAATTTAGGTGCGCACATTCATGTTTGCTAAGAAAAAGGGGGGGGGTATAAGTAACATGTATATACAAGAGTGTGGACTGACACAAACAAAGGACAGAAGACTTTGGAAACGGCAGCTACACAAAGGTCTTTTCAGGTCAGTGTACTATGGAATTGGAATGTAAAACACTCGTTGACAATAATTAAAACAGATTAAAACACGTTTGAATGTGAAAAAATCTTTGGAAGATTACCGTTAAGCATGTGTAACTTAACGTGTAGCAAACGCCGCTCTTTTCTTTCGATCAGAAAGTGTGATGTGTGCTTAATTGTCCATACATTTGCCGTAAATAAATTTTGACGAAATCAATTTATTGAAAAAAGTGAATCCTAAAGTACGCCAAGTTGTTCACTATTAAAGCGGAGGAAAAAAATGCCTGTATTTACACATGCAAAGCAATGGCATCGATCGATCGCGTACAAATCTTAGACAGAAATCGTTTGTCGATCACTATATATCTGCAGATCTCCAGTCATTGTTCAGAAATAAACAAGTTCCATAAGTTAAAACGAAAAAGACAATGGTTTTTTCCTCTGAATTTGTATAGTTCAATAACAACTTAGTAGAGACAATTTCGGCTTTTCGACTTGAGTCGATAATTCCGTTGAACTCGTATAAATCGAGCCCGCCCTCATTTGACAAACCTCTGCACCACTCCAGGTCGAGTTAAAAGTTCAAGGATTTTCTGTCATCGCTAGCGCTAGCGCAGTTTGTATTCATTCGGGTATGACGGTACCGTGAACAGCACTGGTTGTGCATCCATAGTCATGCTAGCACATGTACTGCAGATCGTGCACTAAACATGTCTGGATTATAACTCGGGATTGATTGGGCTGTCATTCATACATAGACCTACTCGTGGTTAATGGAGGACAGGAGCCCTTATCACTGTAGACAGACACGTCACAACAGGTAAAACTTGAAATCGTGTTTGTATAAGTTGATTGTTACACGCCAACTATAGACCATCCCTTACGAAAATGTCCTGTGGTATTCCTGTGGTACTTCTGTGGTACATATGTTTACCACAGAAATTACCACAGGAAAAGTATATATGACCAGAGTACCACACAAATTCATGTGGTAATGCCGACGCTGTCCTGTGGTATTCTTGTGGTACATGTAGGTACCACACAAAGTACCACAGAACAGTAAGATTTGAGAAAAGTACCACATACATGTGTGTGGTATTTGCCACATCCTGTGGTACTTCTGTTGTACTACCACACGAACTACCACAGGTCAGTGGAATTACCACATAAATGTGTGTGGTACCTTCGATATCCTGTGATACTTCTGTTGTACTGTACTAAATACCACACAAACTACTACAGGTCAGTGGAATTGGATGAGAGTACCACATAAATGTGTGTGGTACCTTCGGTATCCTGTGGTACTTCTGTTGTACTTACTAAATACCTCACAAACTACCACAGGTCAGTGGATTTACCACATAAATGTGTGTGGTACCTTCGATATCCTGTGGTACTTCTGTTGTACTAACTAAATACCACACAAATTACCACAGGTCAGTGGTATTGGAGGAGAGTACCACATAAATGTGTGTGGTACCTTCGATATCCTGTGGTAGTCTGTTGTACTGTACTAAATAACACACAAACTACCACAGGTCAGTGGAATTGGATGAGAGTACCACATAAATGTATGTGGTACCTTCGATATCCTGTGGTACTTCTGTTGTACTTACTAAATACCACACAAATCGTGCAGGTCAGTGGAATTGGATGAGAGTACCACATAAATGTGTGTGGTACCTTCGATATCCTGTGGTACTTCTGTTGTACTTACTAAATACCACACAAACTACCACAGGTCAGTGGAATTACCACATAAATGTGTGTGGTACCTTCGATATCCTGTGGTACTTCTGTTGTACTTACTAAATACCACACAAACTACCACAGGTCAGTGGAATTACCACATAAATGTGTGTGGTACCTTCGATATCCTGTGGTACTTCTGTTGTACTTACTAAATACCACACAAACTACCACAGGTCAGTGGAATTACCACATAATTGTGTGTGGTACCTTCGATATTCTGTGGTACTTCTACGTTGTACCATATGCTAAATGCCACACACACAAAAATGATATATTTAGGCGGAATGTATATTTAGGCCGAATAAAAAAAAATGTTTCTCATCCCAAATTTTGAAAAAAAAGGAGGAAGCTAGCTTAGAGGGGCTTTTTATTTTTTATTATTTTTTTTTCAAGATGGCCGCCATTTTTAACTTTCCTGCAATCGTTGGTGTTAGTCCACTGTTCAAAGACACTTTTAAAATGAAAAACAAGTTGGACAAGAGAACTGAACATATTTACAGTCATTTAGAGTTGTATTGTTCTACAATGAACAGGTTGCATATGCTTTAACCTTAATTTGTTCTGTGTTTTTTTACTGCATTCTTAAAAATTAAAAAATAATAAAAAAAATCCAGGCGGCCTCCAAAAATAGTAAAGGGCGGGGACGAGAAACATGTTTTGTTTTTTTAACTTCGCCTTAGTTACATATGTGCACATTTTAAAAATATGAAAGTTATAACTATCATATTTTTAAAATTTGCACATATATGTAACTATTAGGCGAGGTAAAAAAAAAACATGTTTTATGCTACCATATAAATTACCAAAGAAAAAGAGATTACCATCCAATATACAGTGTACATAAATTATAACAAATACACAAATAAGAACACACCGTCATAAAAACATACATGAACAAATATTGCCCCAATATGTACTGAACAGTACTTGTACATAAAGCCCATGCATACTTGTACATGTGTACATAATATATGTACATGTACATGTACATGTATATTGCAGGGTACACTGTATCCTGTTCCCCACAACCACATGTGTGACCTTGTGTGCCCTGTGCAGTGTGTGACCCATGCATGACCCACCCGTGATTCCATAATATACACAGTGTACTAACCATGCAGGGGTCAGGTTTCACGAAAGGTCACCCATACAGCTCCTCCACTGCAGTGAGTGTGCGGGAAGTTTGAAAACCAGTACAGTTTGAATCACAGCACTACATGAAGCAGGGCAGTACAGATGTGCATGGGGCTAGACATGGCAGAATTCAAAACTGAATATGTGTATGAAATAAGCGCCCCACTTCTGCCTGTAAGCAAAGATCAATTGCCAGTATAATATACTGTGTTACTGTGAGCTTGAACATACTATGGTAGGAGGTATGTGAAGTTTTCTGGATGATGAAAACTGGACCGAGTGGATCGAGTCATGCTGAATGGGTCTTGCAGTACGTCATGGTCTAGCTGTCAAATGTACCGGTAAGTCTGAATTATGATGTCTCAAGCTAGTGCCAATGTAGGAATTTGTTTCAAGACATTTATGTGGATCAGTTAGAATTCCCATTACAACTTCATAGAATCAATTCCAGTCTGGACAGTTTGCATCCTCGCACATTCAATATGGAAGCTTTTTTGAAAAATTCCATGCTCTTTATAAACCGTGTCACATATGACTTGATGACAATGCTGTATTTGTTCAGCGCCATCTTTATTATCAGATCTACCTCATCAAAAGTATAAACTGTTTGTGTTCTTTGTGTCAAATTGGAAAACTTTGTCTTCAAGTGATTTGACTGGGAATTTAAAAGGGGGGGGGGAGATATTGTTCATGAAATGATACCAAACATTAAGATTTAAACATAGTAAAAGTTACATGCAAACTCATTACTTTATATATCAAGTATGGAACTTGTACGAATTTCAGTAACACCATCTGCTCATGACTATGGGAAATTACTCTCCTGGTTTAACTTCTGCATTCGTAAATTACACACAAGTTAATAATCAATTCAGAGGATGTTACCTCAAATATTCCATACGTAAGTGATTAGTTGTTGCATGCACTCTTCGGTATTATTACAAACGTTGACTGTTCAATTTTTTTTTAATATGAAACGTATATTACAGAAATGTACAAAAATGTTTTTGAGTTTGACTGCAACTAAACTACAACTGCAACTACAACATTTTTTTCCTTTGTTGAACACCATATTGATTCATAAAAACTAACAAGTTTGTTTCTTTTCTTTTCCAGCTTTCGTGACTTAATTCCCACCAAAGATGGTGGTACATGTGAAGAAGAAACCATGGATATTCTACCTCAAGGATCCCGTTCAAGTGGAAACAATGGAATCCCATCCAGCAATTACCACAGGAACATTAATACCGCAGGAACATTATCAAATATACATTAATACCACAGCTGCAGGAACAGGTACTGCAGAAACTAACAAAGGAACATTGCCCCCCCCCCCCCCCCCCTCGGCATCATTGCCACAAACATTATATCATGGTCAATTTACCACAGGAACGATAACAAATGCACCGCAGGAACATTTAGTTACCACAGGAACATTTACCACAGGAATAATATCAACGTACCACAGGAACATTTACCACAGAAAGAATAACAAATGTACCACAGGAACATTACCACAGGAAATTAATACAGGAACATTACCACAGGAATGTACCACACACATGTACCACAGCAATATTACCACAGGAATATGTTACCACAGCAATATTACCACAGGAATGGTACCACAGGAATTGTACCACAGGAATGGTACCACAGGAATGGTACCACAGGAATTGTACCACAGGACTGTTACCACAGGAATTGTACCACAGGACTGTTACCACAGGAATTGTACCACAGGAATGTTACCGCAGGAATAGTGCTGTGGTAATGTCCCAAAAAACCACAAGAACTTTCCTGTGGTAATGTCCTGTGGTACTTTTTTGTGGTAATACCACAGGACATTTTCGTAAGGGATGGTCCCAACGGAAGCTGGGATCGTCCTAGCTAAGCTTGGAATACCCAGCTATACAGCTCGGGAGATTCGCCATAACTCATGTCTTATGGGAGACTCCCTGTCATATGAGCCTATAGTCTAGAGCTGGGTATTCCAAGCTGTCGGACGGTCGCAAAGCTTTATTTGGGATAGTCCATACTTTTGGTCGATGGTCTACGGAAGCGTTAAAGGGACATACATGTAATACAAACTTAAAAAAGAAGAAAAAATAAGTCATATATCTCATAATTATCACTTGTTATTAAGTCATTGATATGACTTATATGTAAGAATAATGACTAAGTATTCAGTCATAATTATGACATATCTCATAATTACGACTTAGTAATTGTTAAATCATAATTATGACATATCTCATTAATATGACTTATTATTAAGTCACATTTATGACTTACATGTTATAATAATGACTTAGTATTAAGTCATAGTTATGAGATATTCTAAGTCGTAATTACGACTTAATACTAAGTCGTAATTATAAGATATAAGTCATAAATATGACTTAATAATAAGTCATTATTATTAGATAGAAATCATAACTTTGACTTAATAATAAGTCATACATATGAGATATAAGTCATAATTATGATTTAACAATTACTAAGTCGTAATTATGAGATATATATCATAATTATGACTTAATACTAAGTCATTATTATAAGATATGTCATAACTATGACTTAATAATAAGTAATAATTATGACTTATTTATTATTATTTTTTAGTTAGTTTTATGGCCCTTTAAGTTTAACACTTCCGTGATGGTCCGATTGGGACGTAAAAATATTATCACGATTATGTTGCAACATACTTTGCCAATTAGGACGATGCTGTGGGTACATTGCAATCATGGTACGATCGTTGTATTTTGAGTGTGATCATGAACCATAGTTCGAACTATGGTTCATTTCGTTTTAAAAGCATATGTGCCTTGATTGGGTAAATCTCAGATTAGACTTGAGTGATGAAAGACATGCAAAACAAAATCAGGCCATTTTTACTCACTCTTTACCCGACAACATTATCCAACAGTT